TGTTCTCCAAGCTTCCGCACCATACAGTAGAACTGTCTCGACATTTGTATTGAAGATGCCGATTTTGGTGTTGATTGATATTTGTTTGAAGTTCCAGATGTTGTTCAATCGTAGAAATGCAGCCCTTGCTTTGCTGATCCGCGTCTTCATATCTGCATCGGATCCACCTTGATTGTCGATGATGCTGCCCAGATATGTAAAGGTGTTAATGCCCTCCAAGGCATCTCCATCAAGAGCGATTTGGTTGATAGTTTCGTTTTTTTTTATTTTTTCAAATTCACTAAATCGGAAGCTCTAGTAATGACAGACTGGTTGTTCATAAATATTCTTATTAAATATAAATGAATTTTTTTCCCTCTTTCTTGATCTTCGACTCATCTCTTCCTATGCTCTTCTCTGTTTTCCACTTCTCTCTTCTCATGCTACTCTGTGTGCACTCTGTTCGGGATGCAAAATGTTCTTCAAGATTGGGTTGCATCGGTACCTAAACCAGTGATAGGGAATGAAGTAGTCGAATGTGTTGACTGCTTGACTTATCTGGGGAGTCTCATCAGTGATGATGGCCTGGTGACTGACGAAATCTCAGCACGGATACAGAAGGCTCGATTGGCTTTTGCCAACCTGCCTCGCTTATGGCGAAGGCGAGATGTCCGTTTGCTTACTGAAGGACGAATGTACTGTGCAGCAGTTCGCTCCGTTTTACTTCATGTCTGTGAAACATGGCCAGTGAGAGTAGAAGATTTTCGAAGGTTACTGATTTTCGATCACAGATATCTCCTAAGCATATCCTGGGATAACCGATTAAGCAATGCTATTATTAGGAAACGGGTGCTAGGTAAGAATGGCAGATCAATAGATGAAGTAATGAAACTTCATCAGCTGAGGTGTTTGGGACATGTTTTGCGTATGCCTAACTACCGACTGCCTCATCGAGCTATATTTTGCGTTGTACGAATAGATTTGACAAAAACTAGGGGCGACTAAACCAAAATATGGCGCAAATCCATGAATTAACTGACAAGTGGACTAAGTCATGTCGGTAGTTGTCGACTACCTGGTTGGGGTCCGCGAGATATTAGTAATCGATGGTTAGAGACCCTGAATGACATGGTTCAAAATGGTTTGCAATGGCACAGTTGCATTCATTCTTTGTGCTCTCTCAAATCCTAAATCCAATATCGATTGATGTAATTCACACAAACTAGTTGAATAAATTAAAGCTCAGAAACAGAAATTTTCAAATATTTATAGGAAATCACGATTGGAATTTATGAGAAAAAATTAAAATCAAAACAAAGTCTTTTAATATAATATAATCTCATTGAGAAATCCAACCCCGCAGTGTAAAACAACATTCATCACCGTTTCTCCTTTGGATACATAAATTCGTTTTAAAGCCTATTTTTTTCCCCCATTACAACAGCTTCCAATATGGTGTTCATTGGTTCATTGATTATTTTGAAGAGAAAAAAATATATTACGCAACCATCAGTCATTTATGCACACAGTAGTCGAGCAAGTGAAATGACAAACAACTGCATTGTTGAAAATCTTTCATTATTCATTTAGTTTTGAATGTTGATAGAAATTTTTTTATGTTTAGACAGGTTGATTCATTGATAATTTGTGTGCTATACAAAGTAAGATAAATATTAATTGTGTTAGGATATTCAATATCCAGCGAAGAACTATTTTGTAAGTGTCAATTCTATTGGTCGATTCCTACTTGGTCTATATCATGGACGTCCTAGCTATCAATGTCACATACTTCAATGTTGTTTCTTATCGGTCGTCCTGACTACCAATGTCATTTCAAATGTCTCTTTCCTATTGGTCGCCTTAACTGTCAATGTCACAGAAGTCGATGCTGTTTCCTATTGGACCTAAATGTACAAATACGCATTATCTGTAACGTTTTATGACCCGGACACGGATCCTCACTCCGGGATTCGTGTCTTCTTTTGAACTCGTACCTCGTGCTTTCTGCATGCTTGTAGAATACAGGTTCTACTTCGAATCAAGTCTACTTCTTTCACTCGATGCGGGTTGGGACACTCGGATTAGATTAGCAAGTCGTGTGGCCGGATCCTCGATCCTCGCTCGCGTTTTCCGACCAGAGTAAACTCTTGATAGTTCAAAGATATCGAATTGACATGTTTACGTGCATGCGTAACAAATTGTTTTTGTCTCAAATATTGAATTATCCAGTCATTAAAACTTTTAGCTGTATAGATAAACTTGAAAAATATGAATTTTACTATGACTAATTGTGATTAATATGTTAGCTATTTTATTGATGTTTGATACTTCGATTAGATTGAATGTGTATTATTGATCTCAGTTTCATTTGACTAATTATTGTATACGCTTACTTAAATTCAACTAATCACTTTTGCATTATTCCGAGTATATTATCTATAGAGTTTAGTTGAGTCATTATAACTCAGTCAGTTAGTCAGCCAGCTACAAAAACGTAGAACTCCGAACATACGCACATCAGTTCAAGCTTCCATCAACACATTAGCACACAGACATTCAACTGTCAATTCAAATCCCATAGTAGTAGATGTAGTAGTGTAGTGAAGCAGAACACAGGTGAGGGCAACCGAATTGTATTTATCGAAAATTACAGAGTTAATTGGTAAAGTAGGAAAACCATATCGTAAACCGTTAATTTGCAAAACATCAGTCCATTTTCTGACATTTCACTATTCATGCGTTTCATACAAATTCCACTGTGTTCCCACTCTTCCTTTTTTGATCTTTCCCCATCTACTGCTGCCAGACATTACGTTTTCACTCGGGTCATATACTACTTATAAGTAGCGCGCACCACAGCAGTAGTAGTATTAGCGATAATGCAAGAGGTTAGTGTTCGAAGAAATTATTAAAGAAGTTAGAATCCAGTGAAATAAATTTAAACAGAGATATGACAAGGTCTTGAGTTCATGAGGTCATGAGAGAAGACAAAGAATGAATGAATCTGTGCCAAAGTGGCAAAATGATTATGAGCCATGTCATTCAAAGTCTCTAACCATCATCGGTTACCATCATCTCGTGGACCCCAACCAGTTAATCTGCACCTATTACTTGTGTGCAAACACATTTTCTACCAGTTTTCTACTGACCACCTCATAAATTATAAATATCTAAGTAGATACACAATAATTTCTGAAACTGTTTTTTAAAGAAATCGAACTAAAAACATGATTAACTAGCTTTTTGAATTTGGTATGTAATGTTGTTTATTTTTTTTCTCCTTATACCCATAATCACCTACATCTCTGTGTACCAAAGAGGATTTAACTGATCTTAATTATTAATCGATTACAATTAATGACTGTAACTGTATATCGTGTTTTTTTTCTGATTAATATTCATACAACTTAATCAAATAATTTATTCGCTTTAGATTTGTGAATTATCTGATAGTGTGTCAAATATGGGCGGTTATGCTCCGCATATGGAATGTCAAGTCACTGGTCATCCATGTTGTTTAGGTTTAAAAGGTGAATGTATCATGACTACACAGGAACATTGTGATTTTGTACGAGGTTTCTACTATCCAAATGCAGCATTATGTTCACAAGTAAATAGATTCCATTTGATAATCAATAAATAAAAAACAAACACTTTTCTTTTTTTTCAAGAAGTACGATTGTCTCGTTTTATTCCCGCCCCTTGCCCAAAAGAAAATATTGCACTAGGATAATTTATAACCGTATGAATGAGGTGACCCATTATCGTAGGTTGGTTGACATTTAGATATGAACACAGTTCAATGCTGGTTCAGTGATTAAGCGATTAGTCGAAACTGAAGGTCTTGGGTTCGATTCCCCTATACAGGGTCATGGATGCGCACTGCTGATGGGTGAGTCCCACATTAGGCGAAAACCTCAATATCTATTGAGACTGTGTACATTTTCTCTTATCTTCAACGTCAATACTAGTTTCAAGAACTTAACAAAGTGAATGTTTCGAAGTTGTTATGCAGTAAATTAAGAATGTTTGAGATTTGTTTCTTCCTCACTATGTATAGAAGAAGAATATTACTTAGGGACTAATCTATGTTAGCCCTTATTCTGAATATGGGGATTCAAGTGGTTCTGCACTTTATTTTTCAATTTGATCATTTAGTAGTCATTGAAACCTGGAAACAGATTTGAAATGCTCACTCTACATTTATCGATTTGCATCACCTTTAGGATAGTTTTGATGGGATAGTTTGCTTGTCAATAGGAAATTATATATATATTTATATTACGTAGTGATTCTCTTTGTGTTTACTTTAAGCCCATGGGACATGATTGATGAAGACGAAAGACACGCACAGTTTGTAAGTATTTAATGACAGTTGTCTACAAAACAGTTGATTGATAAAGTCTGTGTGTCTTTATATTGCTTCCGGGTGTTGGCATGTTTGCCACATGCGGCCTGACTTATTATTTTTTTCGCGAAATCAAAGTTTGGGGAAAATTAAACATATCCAACTAAAGATAGATCACAATTTTAATGAAACCATAGCCTACATATTATTTTATATAGATGCAGACATGAAGGTGAGTTTGCGATCGTTCTCCATAATTAGTCGATACGATTAAAAGTCAACTGCCATAAATTCGGTTACATTCAAACCATATATCTCGTATGCTAACCAATAAGTTTACTGATAATCTCTTGAAGTAATGGTTCGGTGATCAAGGTCGTCCACCTTTTCGCCACACAAATCTTTGATTCAAAACCTCACTCCACCTACTTCAGTCTAGGCAGCTGGTGGATAATGTGACTCATCTGTACACTTTAGATTGTAACGCGAGACAAAGTGCATAAGTAAATGAGTTAGTCAATCAATAATACTATACTTTGCATTCTATCATCCTATTGATTTTTCTCTGTTGTACTCAATATTTTATGTTCGTACTTTTCACTTTTGCACTTTTGTTGTTGTTGCCGTTCTTCTTAAATTCTCTTTTACTCTTTTTTTCTATGACCCCTAATAGGTGAATTGTTTAAATCAAATTTGTGGTATGTCACCTTTCATCAATAATGAATATCCAAATCAAATGTATCGAATATTCACTTCATTATTTCTTCATGCTGGGTAAGAGATTTCTGTCATTTTGATTGATTATTTGATTGACTGACAACGGTGTCTAACACTGATTGATCTACGGATTTTGCGCGACCTCACCCAATTTGTCTTTGGTAGTTGTTGCCTACACCCGACAAGGTTGAACTCCATTAGTCATGTCTTCTCAACTAGAACTCCGAGAATTTTCTCACGAAGCTAGTCACCAGTGAGTTATACATTAACACTATTGGATGCCGGCCCAGTGGTCCGATGGTTAGACGTTCGCGCACAATACCGAGTCCTGCGTGGTGCAGGAGTCGTGGATGCGCACTGCTGATGAGTCCCATATCAGGACGAAACAGCCGTCCTGTGTTTCTTGTAGGGTATCTCACTCTTCAGGAATCCAGCTTCCAGGTGAATAATCTAATGGACTGAAAAAAAACGATAACACTCAAATTGACATGATATTCTACATAAAAATGGATGATTACCAACTGACATGAAATTTATGTCAAGAGTTTTTATTTATTTGACTGCTTGTTATTCATTAACCATAACTCCTGACTAATCAAATTCGATTAACACAAGTTCATTCACAGGACAGATTTTCTTGTGGCCCTTTGACTACTAAGATTTACACTTAGCGTAACAATATCCAAACTTATCAATCGGACTGAAGAAAATTAAATCTGTTTAAATCTGTACACAAAGATCATAGTAAAGCAAAGTGAATAATAACTTAACTTATCTTAAATCTAATATCATGTTCTAAACGCTTTAACCAAAGGAATAGGTTGGAAGAAAGCTAGGGGCGGACAAACCAAAACATGGCAGCAATCCATGAAGTCAATGACAAGTGAACTGAGTCATGTCGGTATTTGTCGACTACCTGGTTGGGGTCTGCGAGATGATAATAATCGATGGTTAGAGACCCTGAATGACATGGATCAAAACCGTTTGCAATGGCGCCGTGGCATTCAGTCTTTGTGTTCTCACAAATCCTAATCTTCTGGATTCTTCAACCCCTTCTTGAATATCTTTTAATTCTAACCTCTCCGATTACTTCTAATACCTTTACTACCTCTTCTATTATTGGATTTGAATTGACAATTATATCTTTGTGCTCATGTGGTGTGGCAACATGAACTGATGTACTTACGTACGAAGTTCTACGTTGCATCTGACTGACTGACTGACTGACCTTACAATCCTGAGAAAATAGATTATGATTTTGTCAAATTGTACAAATTGGATCATCTACTGTTTTGAACACTGTTAGAATTGAATAAGTTTTCTTGAGACTCAGCTTTTTCTCAAAACAGTTTTTTATGATTCATCCCATCTATACATATATATATATATATATATATATATATATCAATGTGTGTGTGTTATTCATTGTTTTCCATAGTGTATTACATTTACTCTTATCATTGGGTGTTCAAATGATTTTTATGCGAGATTTAGAAAAAATGATTGGTTGGCATCGTATCACATTAGTGTATATTTTATCTGGATGTATTGGAAGTTTAACATCTGGAATATTTTTACCTTATCAAGTAAGTTATTTATTTTTTTTTTTTTTCGATTTTTATTTAATAAATAAATGTAAATCTTACTTTTGATAGTGTTATGTTTTCTGAATTGGATGGCTTAATTAAGAAGCGTTTGTGATCGTTTTAGACAATAAATATCATCAGTGACTAATTTTCTTTAAAAGTTGGCTTTCTGATTATTACTTCAGCATTATATCTTTCTGTTGATCGTAATTGATATCATGATGTGGTGGTCGGGTTTGTCTATGGTGATGACTCAACCAAGCTATATTGTCTGGAACATGTTATTTTAGGTTCTGCCATACCATGTGGGTCGTCGATTGGAGAACGGTACGACTAAAAGCAGCTACTCACAGTATGAGGATGAAGTCGTACTACTGATTGTAGAGCGGTAGGTTTACTTAGGAGAACCAGCATCTTCAGTGTGGTTGTCGCCTTGTAATGTGGAGGAGGTGTTAGATAAGGTCGATCCTAAAGATGTCACATCGAGCTGTTCTGTATCTACGCTGAGATCTCGTCAATCACCAGGCCAGGACAGGCGTTTCATCCTACTTAGACCTAGTTACAAGTGGCTTTTGCGGACTCATTAGCTAAATGGATAGAACGATAGCGTTTGACTTAAGCGGTACCGGGTTAGAGTGAGCATCAACTCTGAGATGTGGGAACATTCAGCTTTACAGTAATAAATCACGATTATTATCCTTATGATCATTACCACCACTATTGTAGTGAAGGAGAACACAGGTGAAGGCAACCGAAATGGTATTTAACGAAAATTACAGAGTTACTCAGTAAAATAGAAAAACCATATCGTAAACGGTTAATTTGCAGATCTTCAATCCATCATCAATCCATTGTCTGACATTTCACTATTCATGCGTTTCATACAAATTCCATTGTGTTCTAACTCTTCCTTTCTTGATCTTCCCCCATCTTCTGCTGCCAGACATTACGTTTTCACTCACGTCATATACTACTTATAAGTAGCGCGCACCACACTATTATCAACCAATCAATTAAAAACTACATATTCTAAATGAACTTTCCTATTGCTTTTTTTTTCTCTTGCTCTCTACAAGGTAGAAACTGGACCAACAGGTGCGCAATTCGCTTTACTCGGTGTTGCATTAGTTGATTTTATACATTGTTGGCATTATTTAGCACATCCATGGTTAGCATTATTACGAAATTTTTTACTGATTTTCCTTTTATTCACTTTTGGTTTATTACCATGGATTGATAATTATGCTAATGCGGGTAGTTTTTTATCAGGCATTTTATTATCTTTTATATTATTACCATTTCGTGGTTTCATTATGCATCATTCTTCAGTATCATTGACTACATCGATGGCTACATCTGTGAATCAAAATCTGTCAGATAATAATAATCAAAATAATAATAATAATAATACTACCAGTTATTATAATACACCAATCACATCACCGACAACCCCGTCTGTTCTATTTAATTTCAATTTTTATGATATTCATCGTAAAAGTTGTACATCGTTACAATATCAACAATCTAATTCTATGCAACAATCACAACCACAACATAACTACCAATCACAATGTCGTCATCGTTGTTTCATTATCATTCTATGCTTGATTCTATGGTTTATATTATGTGTGAGTGTAATTGTCTTATTCATTTGGGGTCCAATTATCAATTGTCAATATTGTAATTATTTTACATGTTTACCATTGACAGTGAATTTTTGTGATAATTTACAAGTGAATGTAGAAAAACGATCTGATTGTATTTTGCCGAATTGGATTTAATCAACTGAAAATTTCTTTTATGAATAAAAAAATTTACATTTTTAAATTAGTACTTTTCCATGATTTGCAATTTTTCAATGTTCAATATTGATCCATTGAACACAATCAGAATACTTCAATATACTACATGTACAACACATCGAGTTATGTTGCAATAAGTTCATGGAGGTGCCTTCTTTCTTCTTATTCTTATGAAACCTTTTTATTTTTTTTATATTTTTTGATTATTGTTAAATATTCAATCTGGAAATTAATATTCACTTTCAAATTCTACTAGTTTTCAACATCATCATCATCATCATCTTGTTCTCTATCTTTACTCAACATTTGACTAAGGAATTTTATGGATGGGACTGATGAATCAGTACTGTTAACATTATCCTGTTGAAAAAAAGAAGGATGGATTTAACTCTGTCCGGTTAAAAAATATCTTTCTAAAGTGATAGTATATTTATTTAAAGAACTATCAAATCACTCTCACCTAGATGAGATTTTTAGCAATAATAATTGTTACCTGAGATACTTGTAACGAATTACGGAATATAAATAGAATGTATGTGTTTCTAAAGAAATGTAATACTGTTCCATGGTTATCTGGTTCTAACATTCAACAAATGTACAGATATCTTGGCTTCCAGTGGAAACTCTTAATGCATACAGAAATGTTGTCTGAACATATCGTCTATCTTGAATGTGTGATTGAGATGTTTCATGTTGTAAAGAGTTGTCAATAGTAGATAGAAAAAATGTAGCCCTTGGACTTTTAGGTGTCAGTGGTACTGATGATACCAACAAGGGAAACAATGAGGATGTTTCTTTACCAGATAATGGCACTAAATGCCTTAATGAAGGAGATGCAACTAGCATTTTAATTTCTGGTCAAAGAAATGTCTGAACTGATTAACACATTTAATCATTTAGTTTACGTATCATGTCATACTTGAGTTTATTATTTGTGGGACAGTTTTTCATGCGCTCACTAATGACTATATTCGTGGAGGTATCCTCACATTTCTAGTCAGGTGTAGTCAGTTGAGTTTAGTTACCCAGCGGAAACAATGGGTGATAGTCACAAAGTGTATTGGATTAAGTGAAATTATACTTTTACACTATTAGATGCCAACTCAGTGAATAAGCGAGATCAAAGGTCTTGGGTTTGATGCAAGGACCGAACGACCGTCTATTGATTCTGCGTTTCTAATGATAGTCTAACGTTGATTGGTCCACGATTTCAATGAACCTCAATAGTCTCTACAACTATACACTGACAATTTACATGTTGCAGTGAAGGAGAACACAGGAGAGGGCAATGGAATTGTATTTAACGGAAATTACAGAGTTACTCAGTAAAATAGGAAAACCATATCGTAACCGTTAATTTGAAAATCTTCAATCCATTGTCTGACATTTCACTTATTCATGCGTTTCATACAAATTCCATTGTGTTCTAACTCTCCCTTTCTTCATCTTCCCCCATCTTCTGCTGCCAGGTATTACGTTTACACACGCGTCATATACTACTTATAAGTAGCGCGCACCAAACTCGTCACCCCTTTTAATAATCTGTCGTAGTAGTCTTTCTGATCGCCGTACCGCTGTCTTTTTTGGTGCTTTCCGTGACTCACAGACTTGATGATCTTGAAACCATCTCTGCAGTTTACTGGCATTTACACGCTTCTGCTTGTCTTCTCTCCGGACCGTGTACACCGCGCCGCGTCTCTCCGTGATAACGTACGGTCCGTCCCACTTTGGGATCAGCTTTCCCCACCCTGATCCCCCTGCTATGCTACTTTTTTGTTGTTTACACTTTACTATGTCCCCCACTGCAAAAGGTTTCCACGTTCTCCTCTGTTGTTCCGCCTTCTTTATGTCTGATATTTGCTTCTTTCCCACGTTCCTGATTGCCTCTCTCCTCTCTTTTCTTAACCTTGTTGTTGTCCATTTCTGTTGTTGTGGCCAGGTCTTATTGTGCAATGGAAGTCGCGGTTGTCTGCCATACATGAGCGAGAAGGGTGATTTCTTGGTTGTTCCTTGTATGGAGGAACGATGTGCCAGCAAAATCAATGGTAACTCTTTCTCCCAATCTCCTCCTTTAGATGCTAACCATTCCTTTAACGTCCGGTTGTTTCTCTCTGTAAACCCGTTTGTCTGAGGATGATACGGTGTAGTGTAGCGCGCACCACAATGTTACTACCCAGAACGGAAAACATTTAGTCCAGCAGCTGCATTATTGATAATGATTATTGTTTGAATTTAAGTATTTAGTTCTTAGTATCATGACTTACAATCTTCTTTATTTAAACCTAGTAATTACTGTTGTTAATCAGAATATAATAATAATAATAATAATAATAATAATACTGATTGATAAATATCTTACTTTTATTCAATGAAAGAGTTTTCATGATTTAAACATTTTAGTCACATAAGAGTATAATCTTCGACGTTTAAAATAATCACAACTACAGATTTTACTTTAATGCTTGTCCAAACATGTTTAAGTATCGTTTTTGTGGAGTGAAAATGTGAAATGAGATAGATTAGAAGAATAATATGACATATTTCTAACAGACTACTACTCACAGTCACTGCACAAGTTTAAACAGTTAGTTTCATTGAGTGTGCTTAACTTAGGATTTTTATGTTCACATCCAATTTTTATTCGCTAAATAATATACTGATGTGGTAGATGCTACTCATAAAATGACACATAAGTAAGTAGTATGCAATGGAGTGTCACCAGAAGTTGCTGTCATAGAGAAGAGGGTTGGGTGATTGAAACACGTGGTGTGGTTAGAGTATTTTGAAGACTAGAAGAGATATGAAAGAATACAGTTGATGACCTATTGGCATTGAAAACAGATCATGTATATATTTCATAAATAAACTATCTTCTCCATCTTGTCTTGACTTCATTCATTCTTATTAAACACAAAATTAACTGTTGGACATGTTCGGACAAGCGTTCAGTGTTAACTGAGTTTTGTTTTAAACTTATTGATCAATAACATTTTCATTATTTGATAAGTTAGTTCACTAATTTTCAGTATTTTCTGTAACAGTTATTTTCTGAATTCATTAACAATTGAAGTTGTTTATTTAACAAAAAATTTATCTTTCCAAACGGTTAAAGCGACTGACCATCCATTTTTAATAGGAATTAACCAATCGAATTGCAGCAAAAAAGCATGAATTATTTAGACAGTAGCTATATCATTGATCCAGGTCACTCAGTGAGATTCAGCCTCAAATGAGTACTTATTTTAATTAATAAAAAGGTAGAAATTCTATTCTTTATTATTTCCACCATGTAAGAAACATGTTACGTGATCATGAACTATTTCCCTCGTTCCTCGCTACTTTGTTTTAATTGTTTATTCTAGCCAATAGTTGGTCTTCGTTTAGTCCTAGTTATAGATTCAATAAACTGATCAGAATGAATCACAAATAACAATCACCTGTTCACTAATGATCAGCTTCAAACTATGTTGGTGCAGTTGTAGAGATAAGCTGTGACCAATGAAATTCACTCTGTGTCGGATGTGAGACAGTCGTTGGCTGCGGACAATGGATGAAGGTTGTATAAGATCATCATGGATTGATTGAAGTCGGACATTAATACTGTTGGATGCCGACCCAGTAGTCCCAAACGTAAGCTCTCTCAAGCGAGACTAAAAGACTCGGGTTGTGGGAATCTCATACTAAAAAGAAACAGTCGTACAGTGATGCTTTCAAGTTCACCAAAAAATGATCTAGCTAAAATTAATTTACCACTTCAACTATGGAAATGAAACACTACAATTGAAGATTGTCATTTCCCGTCCACATTGTAATGCATCTACGCACCATATTCATTCAATCTTAACATTTCCAAATGTATTTATTTCAAACAATCTTAAAAAAATAACTGAACAATTACATTATTTCAATATATAAATTTCATAAAAAAAATAACGGATTTTTTCAATGTCCAATCAAGAAATAACTTTTTCAAGAATAGTTAAATCAATTTCCATGATTCATTCCATTTGTCAGTATAAAAAAAATAATTCAATGAAGAGATAATCGTTGACATATATCATTATTTCCAGAAATAAAAGAAAAAATAAATCAATGACAAACAACATCACACACAGGCAATAAATAGTTTATGCATTAAAAAATTTGTACAATATCAATTATACTGTATAATCGTGTGAATAAATGAGTAATATAAGTAGTATAAGTGGTTTTTGAACATTCTTCTACACGTTGAATTGAATCATAAAATGATTGCCATAATTTTTGATCTTGTATACACATTGTACCACCACCACGTTTGAATTGATGAGGCTAATAAAAAAAAGTAAAAAAAAAGAAAATAAAATGGTGGTATACAACAATGAACAGATTTGAGAGTATTAACTACAAGATTGATGAATTACTAAAACTTAATACATCTCTTACAGAAATAGAAATATAATGCATTTAAAAAAAAAGAATAGAAAAGAAGTTATTCAAAAACCTGATGATGAAATCACAATCATTCATATGCACTGGCTGATGAGTCCCATACCAGGACGAAACGGCCGTCTTTCAGTGCTTCCAGGTTTCTAATAAGGGTGGTCTAACAATGATTGATTGATGATTTCAAATGTGTAAAAACGCAAAACCTCCAAAACTCTGCCCGAAAATATCGTAACAGTGCTCACTAGTGACTAGCTTCGTGAGGAAATTCTCGGAGTTCTAGTTGAGAACACGTGACCAATGGAGTTCAACCCTGTCGGGTGTAGGCAGTAACTACCAAAGACAAATGGGTGAGGTCGCGCAAAATCCATAGATCAATCAGAGTTAGACACTAACACCATTGGATGCCGGCCCAGTGGTCCGATGGTTAGGCGTTCGCACACAATACCGAAGGTCCTGGGTTCGAATCCTACGAGGTGCAGGAGTCGTAGATGCGCACTGCTGATGAGTTGTCTCATACCAGGACGAGACGGCTGTATTTCAGTGCTTCCAGGTTTCTAATGGTGGTGGTCTAACAATGATTGATTGATGATTTCAAATGTGTAAAAACGCAAAACCTCCAAAACTCTGTCCGAAAATATGCATTCTCGACAAAGAAAACGTAAAACAATAAAAAATACACTCTAACTTTGATTGATTTTGGAAATAAACTTATTGATCGGTACTCAACAGACACTGATAGTCATGCAAAATAAAAGTATGAAATGCAAAGATCTTCAAATATTTGTTTTTTTTACCATGATAATCTGACCATTAGGTTAGTCAATATAATATTCATACAATAATTGGATTATATGTAACCTTAGTCGACTGCAGCATTTTTTGCAAAACCAATAGAAATAGAACAGCCTATTTTGAACTTACTCAATTGGTTGCACACACATGACTTCAAGTCTTAGGGGATAAGTAGGCAATATGCTAGGCTATAGTTTGAAATTTACTCACTTTTCCATATCCATATCACGATCAAAAAATACAACTGAATGATACTACTGATTACATGTCCAAGATACAAAGAAATACATTAGAATAATATACTCAGTCTCCTGTTGAAAATATGGTTTATACATTTTAGTTTGTAAGCATTTACATCTTATTGTAAATGCTGGGAACCACAATTCATGAAGCAAATTTCATTGAATAATGACAGCTAGTACATATAGATATCCGCCCCCCCCCACTGAATAAGATTTATTTGCAAATACTTCATTGAATGTATTTCATCTATCAAGTTTGAAATTCTTTAGAAAGATTTGATGACGATGTAGATTTCATATTACGAATTAGTCGAAGAAACAAAAATCAAGTATCTATGACAGACAGACAGACACAACACAGAACTTCGTACATACGTACATCAGTTCAGGTTGCCATGCCCCAACAGCACAGAGAAGCAACTGTCAGTTGAAATCCAAGTGTGATAGCAATAATCGAAGTATTAGCAGTAATAGAGAAGATTAAGGAGCGAAGATATGATTCGAGAAGTATAATTCAGTAAGATAGATTTAGAAGGAGATTATGAAGAATTCAGAAGGTTAGAATTTCATAGAACACAAAGAGTGGATTCACCTGCGCCGTTGTCAACGATTCTGGGCCATGGCGTTCAAGGTCTCTAACCATTGGTGACTATCGTCTCGCGGATCCCAACCAGATAGCCTACATCTACCAACATGACTCAGTCCACTTGTCAATGACTTCATGGATTTGTTCCATGTTTTGGTCTGGCCACACCTAGCTTTCTTCCAATCTACACCTACACTACAAAACAAAGCTCGACGAGGCAGTCGGTGGTTAGCCATACGTAACACATGTCCCAACCACGTCAACTGATGAAGTTTCACAACTTCATCTATTGATTTGCCATCCCTACCTAGTACTCGCTTCCTAAAGACAGCATTGCTTACTCGATTGTCCCATCAATGTGTCAGTAAAAAGTTAAATTTGAACATTCATTGACCATTTATTGCTAATTCTGGTATAAATAAACAATGCAAAAATGATTGATTAACATTGAATGTTTTTATTAGCCTTTTGTTATTTGTGTTGTGCATTTTAAAAAATCCTTATTTTGAAGGCTTAAATTATTAAATATATTTTGTGCTTACTGATAGTTTATCAGTAGTTAAATGTGAGACATGAGAATAGTTTATCAAATTTATTCACGGTAATGAATAAATATATTTGTTTGACTGTGAGTCGTACTCATTGCTTGATTTTAATGCTTCTTTATTTTGATGAAATTTCATTCATTGAGCTGGATGGTGGAGCATCCATTGTTTTTCTGAATGACATCTTCAATACAGGTTCGGAATTATTCGGATTTGTCCACAATTGATTAATAGCTTATCCCATCGACGTCGATCTTGAGTTTTCTCAGAAAAATAACGAAAATGCACCAATATCATCCACTGTATTTAGGAATCTTCATTCTTCCATCGTGAATGTTGACGTCTACTGCTGTGGAAGCAACTGTTACACTAACAGTCCTTATCTACATTTGTTAATGTATATTGAACACAAGGAGTAAGTCATCTAACTATGTCCAAAATCTCCATTGTATTCTGTGCATTTTGTGAGATATGGAGGTCTTCACAATCCAGTCAATCACCAGGAGAAAAATAAAAATGTCATACTAGGCACTCTTGTCTGACACCAATATTCACAAGGAATGTATCTGTCTGTGAGCTGCTCTCCATGCATCGCTTCACAGTTCAGTCTAGTATGACTTCCGTATGACAGACACTCCATAGTGTCGAACATGATCTCACAAAATTTTCCGGATCCACGTTGTCGAATGCCTGTATACATTAAATCACGAAAGTTGGCAACAAGTCCCATTCCACTGATTGTTTAACAATGATTCAGCATAACAATTTATCCTAAACAAGATTAAATTCCTCACGGATGTCAGCATTTTAGAATGAAAACTGGGCATAAACTAACGCTGTTGAAAATATTCCCTATTACTGATCGTAGTAGTGTGATGCTTCTGTTGTTTACGCTACAATACATATCATAAGCAGATCTCATATTGTAGTGAAGGAGAACACAGGTGAGGGCAACCGAATTGTATTATCTCTAATTACAGAGTTACTCAGTAAAATTGGAAAACCATACCGTAAATCGTTAAGTTGCAAAAATATCAATCCATCATATCGAACTGGACTGTTCCTGTTGCAAACCATCAATCGATTGTCTGACATTTCACTATTCATGCGTTTCATAAAAATTCCATTGTGTTCCCACTCTTCCTTTCTTGATCTTCCACCATCTTCTGCGGCTGCCAGACATTATGTTGACACTCACGTCATATACTACTTATAAGTAGCTCGCACCACAATATATCTTATTATACATATTTATAGGACATTTTTTTTTATCAAATTTCATGTAAAATTCAATTAAATATTCATTCACTCTTATTGAAGTGAATCATTTTCTCTTTTCTTGTCAAGAAAGTACAATTTATTATTGTTTTTCTGTAAAGATAGGTTGTTGTTGTCAAATTATTTTCAAGGTTCTAATTTATTTTTAAAATATGCTTATTTATTTAAAGATTACAATAATAATATCAATCATATTAATCATACAACAATAAACTATGCTTTTTTTAAATGATCAATCATTTAGGTTATCATTCTCACCTGACGATTAATATCACCAAGACATATCCAATGATTATTATTATTATTATTATTATTATTGGTATGTTCAGTTCGTTGATTGGATGATGATGATGATGATGATGATACAGTGACAGCCCATTTTGCATGATCTTGTGCATTCAATATTGTAGTTTCAGTAGTTTCAATGTAAATAGATTCAATATTTTTCACCTAGTATTATTATTATTATTAGGAAATAAAATAGAACAGATATATATATATATATATATATATATATATATATATATATATATATTTGAACGAAGCACAAACTTTACATCATTCCTCTTTCACATTATCACACTTAGGATAAGTGAAATAGTACTGGTGGGCACGAAAATCCATGTGACGACATCAACAATATATTTAAGCCAATATTACAGAGTTGTTAAGAAGCATATGTACAAAACTTTCACGTGAAATCATCATTTGCAAACTAATCCTTATTTGTTTCAGATTTCAGTGTTCTTTCATTTAGACTGTTCAGACTTCAGTTCACTACTTTACGTTACCTACACGAATCACCTTCTGTTCTCATTCCTTCCTTCTCGATCTTTTGCTGTCAGACGTTTGATTTCCATTTTTTATCATATACTACTTATGTGAACATAAGTAGCGTATAACAACAGTGCACGACGTTCAAACTAGGAATATTGTATTGCGTTCAATGTTGTTTTTTTTGTAACACACAAAATTTAATGTTGGACTGATGAATTTCAATTCTTCAAGGCCCCAATAAATATACAACTGATCAACACACTTAACATCATTAAATAAAATTTCCAGTCAGTCATTTAAAATCAACAAATAATTTTTAGTGTATGTATGGATAGTTAGCTGAAAAGAAATATTCACAGAAAATTAATTTCAATTTTTTCAGTATCTATAATTTATTTTGAATTTATTAAATAAGACACAATCTCACTGAAAATGTCATAAATTATAGAATCCGAATTAAATTTATTTTATAAGAATAAGCAATTAAGGCTTTGAGGGGCGGTGGAAGTGGATAAGACACACACTACGAAAAGCACCTAACTGTGTCACGAGACAAGCCCTTACATGGAACCCTCAAGGCAAAAGGAAAAGAGGAAGGCTAAGGAACACATTACGCCGAGAAATAGAGAAAGATATGTGAGGAATGAACAAACATTGGACAGAACTGGAGAGGGAAGCCCAGGACAGAGTTGGTTGGAGAAAACTGGTGGGCGGCCTATGCTCCATTGGGGGTAAGTAAGTAATTATGTATCTCTATGCTTAAATCTGGTTGGAGGATACTCGCTGGTGGTCTATTGCTCAAGTGGGGGGTTATAGGGTTAGTGATAATAACACGATAAACATCTTTTTTGCCAGTATAATGTTCAAATCATTTGAATCTTTCCAGTTATTCGGTACATTTATATTGTTCTTTACTAAGTATGCATATATTAACCTTGGACGCTTCTTATAAACACTTGTGTGTGTGTGTATGTGAACATATTTTATCATGTGACTAGCTTCGTGAGGAAATTCTCCAAGTTCAGCCTTGTCAGTTGTGAGACAGTTGCCCACCGAAGACAATAGATGAGATTGCACAATATTGTGAATTGATTGAAGTTACACATTAACACCACTAAATGCCAGCTCAATCGTCAAGAGGTTAAACAATGGCTGGTGAAACCGGAGGTCGCGGTTCACAATTTCAGTTATATCTAGAGGAATTTGAACAGCTTTTTCTATATTAAGTTTGTATTGATGAAGGAAAGTATAAACTTCGCCAATGAATCATTAAGTTCAACGAACACGTCAAACCTAAAAGACATCGCTACAAATGATTTTCACCATTTCAAAATCATAGTTTCTATCACAAATGCATTATTTTCATTTCAAGCATAAGAATACCACATCAGTGTTGGATTTTGATAATAAGTGAATGATTTCAATGTTTTTTCAACCTTATCATCATGAAATTGTTTGTGAATTTATAAAGTCCAATTGACTAATACTCATTTCAAACGTCAGTCAAGTTGACCTAGTATGTAAAAACACACATAGTATGCTGTACAAAACAAAATGAAATAGTCTCGGTCATTAATAATACAAAAACCCTGATAGTTTTGGTGAAAAATAATAATCAAACAAACAAACACACCGGATAGATTGTGTACAACAACTAAATAACTAGTCAATCATTGGATAGAGAATTAAACCTTGAATTTTTATGTCTATGTAAAAGGTCAACTGAAATGATGATTTAGGACTATCAAACATAATAAAACTAAGTATGTATTATATTGAATAAACTTTTGTTTTCCTCACAGGTGGGCGAATGAATTCTATTCTCACATAATCATGCTCACATGATTTACACCAATATATATATATATATTCTCAATGTCATTGATTATTATTATTATTATCGGGGAAAAGTTATCAAATGGCTTAGGAAGGAGGATCATGTAAACATAAGGTTGCAGTCTATTAAATGATTGAACAGTGAAAAGATTTTGTCTAGGGTATCCACGATAATTATCATTAGTGGTTGAAATCATTATTAAATAACTGGACTACTAGATTAGCATATTTTGCTTCAGGTTAACCTATTAAGCTTTTACTATACATCATATCATCCATAATTTCTTGCTAATAAGTTATTGACAACTTGTCAGGTCTCACTACCACTTTCGGCCTTTTTGTGTTTTAGCTAGGATTTACTATTTTATTGTATGATGTAGTCTGGTATGTGTGCGTATATAAGCCAATATGTGTTGGAAATATAATAGAGGCTTAAATGCTGTTTTCTCCTTTTGGAATCGAGGCTGGGTACAAGTGCTGTATGTGTATCAGTGGACCAGTAAGATTTTTTTCTGCTAATAACGATGATAAGGATTTTATTCAATATAATATGTTTAGTACCATATAGAATTCTCATGAAGGAATATTTCAACAAGTTTCGTTGTCAATGCATAATGCTAACGACAGCAATGTCTCAAACTGTGCTCTTTTGTACCTTCTGAAGCGATAGGCCATAAACTTCCCACATACATGTTTGCATAGACGTGTATAAACAATCATAAACAAGTGGCTTGTTAAAATATTCTAAAATTAGGAAATAAATAGCCCAGCTATTTAAGCAGACACTGAAAAAAGCCGTTTTGACTTTTAATTAAACAATAATTAAAACTTAGGTAAGACAGGATAGATGTTTTTGATTCAAGTGCGAAACTCTTTACTAGTAGTGTCCAATGAAGAAGTTTAAATTAACTCAAAGTAAGCCATATTGATCGGTTCCTAATTAGTAGTCAAGGCTGACAATGTCGAGCTATGGATAGATTGACAAATATCTTTTGTTAACAAAAGAGATTGATTAACTTCACAGATATAATAAATAGTATTCAGTAAAATTCATAGTCACAACAATCAATCACCTGTCTTAAAACAAAATGAGTCTTCATTAGTTTTATTGAAAAAAATTTTTTTCTAAATTCAACTTATTTTCAATATAACTGAACGGCGTAAATAAAACTAAACACAAAGAACAAAGTCAGTATATGAAAATAACGATAATAATAATAATAATAATAATAATAATAATAATAGTTTTTAATTCAATGGTTTCAATTTGATGAACTTTGGATACACACACATAAGTGGTATGAAATCAACGTAGACTCTTAAGTGATACTAAATTTAAATTAAAATATTATATAATTAATACTTATCAATTTCAAGAAATTCCAATAGTCAAATAATATTATTATAAGTATTCTCAAGTGTCTGAATAGTTAAGTGTAATTTATAATAGAACAAAAAATATTTAATTGTGAAATTCAGCTTTTTTTTTGTGATTGAATTCAAATTTTGGCTTTGAAAAAAAAATACCACAGTCATTTGATGAAAATCAAGCTAATTGTTTTTTGTGCTTTTAATTTTTTCATCAGTCCACATTGAAACTTTACAAATCAAATAGTAAGTGGGAATGAGAAGACTTAGGCAGGCGAGGAAGATTGTATTATGCAAATTTACACTCTTAGTCAATTAAAAACGAAAACATTACATTGAACACTCTATTTGCACACCATCTTTGAGTCCTGACTTCCAACGCTCCAGGTCCTGGGTTCGAATCCTGCGGGTTGCATGAGTCGTGGATGCGCACTGCTGATGAGTCCCATAGCAGGACGAAAAGGCCGTCTTTCAGTGCTTCCAGGTTTCTAATGGTGGTCTAACGTTGATCGATAGATGGTTTCAAAAATCAAATAGTAATCTAGCATATTATTGAGATGACGAATCGACTAAAAATATCATACAATCATTGAAAACTATGCGTTTCATTCTTTCATTGTTGACCATTTAAATTACATTGTATGCTATCAATTTGTGTTGATAAGATTTTTCTTCGAAATAAGTGTTACTGGCAGAATTTTTCTAAAAATTCTGTCCCAACTAAATGCTATCAATATATGATAGTATTTCCACAGTTTTTTTTAAACTGTTTTATAATCCTTAAAATGTCAGGAATGAATATGGAAAAGTAAGTTGATTTAAAAATGAAAAAAGAAAAAAATATCCTCATTAAAAAAGGGGTTATTGACGATGGATAGAGTGTTCAGTCAGTCAGTCAGATGCAACGTAGAACTTTGTACGTAAGTACATCAGTTCATGTTGCCATACCACATCAGCACAGAGAAGTAATCGCCAATCAAATATATAAGAAAATCAACGTAAGAGGATTCTCAACTTTGTTGAATAATTAATAGAATTAAATAAACCCAATAATAACAATGGTCCAAATTTGAGATAAAAACAATAGAAAGCATGTTTTCTTTATAATATAAACCTATCCCTTGTATCTTCTATATATAAGAAGAATAAATTTATAGACTTCAAATTATACTTTAAAAAAAGGTTTCTTATGTACATCAACTAGTATCAAATGATTTATACAAGGTTATTCAAGGCATATACGTCGCAATTGTTTCAAAAAGCGATTGTTAAAGAAGACTTTAATTTTAAAAAAATAGTGTTCTTTTTATTTTTTCAAAAAAAAATTTTAAAAAACGCAGACAAAATTTTCAAAACATTTTGGAGCAGGAGTCGTGGATGCGCACTGCTGATAAGTCCCATACACAAGGACGAAACGGCCGTCTTTCAGTGCTTCCAGGTTTCTAATGAGGGTGGTCTAACAATGATTGATTGATGATTTCAAATGTGTAAAAAAAACACAAAACCTCCAAAACTCTGCCCGAAAATATTTTTAAAGACCCTGTTAAAATAACCAAAAATCTTTTAAAAATTTTCACAGCGTTTTTTTAAAAAATTTTCTATAATCCTTAAAATGTCAGAAATGAATAACGAAAAAATAATTTGATTTCGAAATGAAAAAAGAAAAAAACCTTGTGGACATGAAACGCTGTGAAAATTTCAATATAAAAAACCGTGTAAAAAAATTTTGATAAAAAAAACAAGTTATAAATTTAAATGTGCTCAATTAGTTATTGAATTAACATAACTAGTAAAAAGTAAATTTGAAAATACTTGTAACAGTGATTGATTTTTAAGAAGCAAAAAAAAAACAAATATGGTTTCATTATTATATATAATCAACTAACTAACTAACCTAACAAACCCCTGTCAGAAATAATTAAGTCTCGTTATTTAACAACAAAAAAGAAAAATAAAATGAACTGACCTCATTTTCTAATCATTAAAATTGTACTAACAAGTGAGTAAATATTTCTTTTAATTTCAATAGGTAAAAACTACACATAACTGGAATTTTATTTTTTCTGTCAAATAATATTTTTTTGGCTAGTGGATTGCGTAATGTACATTATTAATTATGGCAAGGCAGTTGACCTTTAATAAATAAATATTTAAGGAATAAAACGAAATAATAATCTAAAGATAATTACTTTTTCAGATTTTGACTCAAACTGTTGAGTTCTTTTTAAACTCAAAAGTATTCATAATATGCAACTGGTTAATCAATTTAGAGGATAATTTTTTGGAAATCAGTCGAGACAATTTTCATTTTCTTAGGTTTTTTTTGTATGAATTGTGTCCTATTGATCTTGTTAGTTTGAGTTAATTGAGTACGAAAACTTTGACCAATATTTATAACATGTTAGATCCTAATCTTAAGTTACCTATGACATAGGTAAATAAGTGTGTCACCTTTAGTAAAAAACTTTCTGAAAGTTTGTGAAAACCCACTGGAGTTACATAATGCAATAAACAGAAAGAAATAAGCAAACGAAACAATTTAACTCAACTTACAGAATATTGACGATGACATGCTGATGGTATACTTCCATCATGTTGCCAAGTTTCCGTGTCCAAAGATGTTTTCAGCGTTGGTGCAACGAAATCAGCGTAAAGATCTAAAATATTAAGCAGAATTCAATAGACTTACACTTAGATAGTAGGCTACATACCTGTATGTTGAAATCAGTTCCAAAAATTATTTTAATGAAAAATATTATACTAAATAAGATTATCATGTATATATGGTATTACGTTACGACAGTATTAGATATAGAGACTTGTTTTCAGTTCAAAAAAAAATTATTTAGGGATAGTTAGCAACATTAAGCTGCCTTGTATTGTTGATATTAATTTACATATAACATGACTCTTGTAGGGAGATAACACAAAAGGTTAACACACTTAAAGAGCTATCACTTCACTTCAAATATTGTTTACGTATATTGAAATCCTAAAAAAGGAGAGATCTTGTGCTTGAATGTGTAAAGTTTTAGATTAAAGAAGTAATTTGTTAGGGTACAATATGTATATGTGTTAAGAATGGAACAATAATGGGATTAGTAGCTCCAGTCAAGTTGTATTCATTCCATATGTCTTACTGAGTGGAATAATTGAGTAGCGGATAGTGTGTTAAGGTTGAGTTGATAGCGCCCACAGATGGCAGTAAATAATAGTGCCTAATGTCAGTAAGCTGAAGTAGTTTCTCATATTTGTTATTAAAAGCACTTAGGTCTGTAAGACACATTTTTATAGGCTTGGTTTGTGAAAATTCCTCTATGTATACATTTGTAATTTGTGCTTATTGAGATTCCTTCAGTTGTACATTTTGTCAGTCTGTTCGATTCCATTTGAGATGATAATATTTGTATTTTATTATAGTTTCTATTTTTTTGAGCCTTTATTGAGTTTCTATATTTCTTTCTGAACTGCATTATGTTGTTTTAAGCTGATACTTAATTATGGCGTCAGTCATATTGATTTTGTTCCTCTTTTGATTGTGTTGCTTGCTTTGACTAGAATTGTGCATTTTGATTGTGAATTGAAGCACTCTTCCACAATAGGAAAAATTATGTGTTGTAAAGCAATCAAATATTATCTGTCGAACAAATCTGATCTATCTAGGAGGGACAGAATAACATTTGTATTCGTCGCTGCTAATTTGAATAATTGGACAATTGTTGGTGGAATAACTGAATGATAATATCTGTTCAGGTAATGATGTACATTTATATTTATGGCGAATATTAGAACCGTCATTCACCTGGTTTCAACTGGGCAATAGCGCGTATCTAAACTATCTAGAAAGCTGTTCCTCAGTCCAAACATCAGTTTGGATTCTACGGTTCTAAACAAATACCGATCGATCGAAGTTGTTTGGCAAACGTTTCATGAATTTCAATTATCGTTACTGAAGATATTTTAGCGCTTCGCTCGTGATACCAAACACTCATCAAAGGAAGTCAAGCTCAAGGCTCGTTGGGGTTAATGGAGTTAAACGGAATAATGGATCCTCTTTTAAAAAGTAAGTGCCTTTTGATGTCCCTATGTGTCATGGTTCAAACTCAAATAGGTGATTCTAGTCATAACTCGATGTCAGATGATATAAAAAATCTTAGTTTAGATAAAAAGCAAGGGCTTGAAGTATCAGCAAGAGGTTAATACCTATTGCGCCTGTTGTAGGCCAAAACTACCAAAGGTTTAATTGAGTTATTTCGATGAACAACCAAGAGGGTACCTAAAGTTTGTAAAGCAGTTTGAGACCTACGAAGCATCATGAGTCATTAATGATAGCAAACAGTTGTTCTATTTGATGTAAGGGTAATGCAAGATCAGCCATTCAAGGTTGTGTCATGATGGAAGCTTCTGCTGGTTTTTAGAGGGCCAGAGATATTCTAAAACGTTTGTTCGGTTAGTCGCATGTAATAGCCCAACAAACTTCAATCCTGTAAATGTTGATTATAATGACGCGGAGTAGCTATTGAACCTGGCTATAAGAATGGAAAATTGTGCTATGGTCTTGAAAGAAATAAAAAATACTGCAGATCTAAACTATTTAGCTACTTTAGAGAGAGTAGTGAGGCTTTTGCCCCAACCTCTGCAAGCTCAGTGGTCGGAACTGGCGGATAAATTAACTGAAGCCTAGCTTCGTAATACATAATTTGTAGCCTTGTATCAAGCCAGAAAACGCTAAAATAAACCTAACGCTCCTCAACCATCCACATGTTTTGTTAGAATTTCAGACAGGATTACCAAGTAAAAAAATTGATGAAAAAAAATTTGTTTTTTGTTGCAAAGGAGCATTAGCAATCAGTCCACCTAGGCTAATGAAACTTTTTAAATCGACAAGCACATTTAATTTTCTTATCTCCAACTACAAAAATAGATATTCTTAAAGAACAGCCGTGAAGTACTATATTATATTTCACACACACGGAACAGATTGATTCCCCAACGTCCATAGTTTTGTTCAGGTAATTCTAATCACTCTGTTTTCAGCATTTCGACTAAAAGACTACTGCTATATAGATATTCGAATTGAACAAGAGTATATATTGAGATAGTAAAATCAAAGTAGTTACGTTCAAAAGAACACTTTTATCAAAAACCTGAATAAAAATGAATAAAGTTCTAAACGATTAGCAGATATCGACTAGACCACAAACTTATGTAAGTTGAATTCAAGTAAAAAACCTTTATATTATTGAGGTATTTATCAGCTTTTTCTGTCACGAAGAGGTAATATCAAGAAATATTATTAAAAAACTGAAACAATGTTTAAAAGTTGGTGAATATGATTACAGTTTGGAATTTTAGAGTAGATCATGAAAACGAAAATCTGTTGGGATGTATAATTCTTCCAGTAATGTTAATTATATATACCAGTAGGATCAGCATTTCAATAAAATATTGAGTGAATTATTGAATTTAAAAGTAAACACATCTAAAATTAGAACAACACATATAAGACGAACAATATTGTTTTCGATTAGATCGTCATCAGGCTTTACTCTAATATACATGAATATTTATATGAAAATGTTAAACCAATATAAATATTCATGTATATTAGAGTAAAGCCTGATGACGATCTAATCGAAAACAATATTGTTCGCTTATATGTGTTGTTCTAATTTTCACAATTGGAAACTTTAATGCATCTAAAATTGTATCCTATCATTTAATCCAAACGTAATATATGAAAACGATAAGATAATAATTTTATGAAACAAAAGAAATATCAAGACTAATGTTTAAATAGAATTGAGTAAACAGTAATGGTACTTACTACCATTTCCAGTGATAATCAACTGTTATATGAACAGTATAACATAACAGTATAACGAATCATACATGAAAGTATTTTCTGTAGGTAAATTACGCTGTTACAATGTTCTGTATAAGAAATTATAAGACAGTACCAACCAATGAAAACAATCACTTTTAAATTTCGTTAAATGAATTTAAAGATACATTTATAAAAGGAAATTTGCATTACATAAGTAAATATGACTGACCTTTACCAAAATTCACTGATTTTGAGAAATGATTTAGTCGAAAAGAATTACCGGCTGTTTGCATTTCAATAACGTTACTTTCTATTTCAGTAGAAACGTTTTGATTCTGAAGTAACTTGGCCAAATCCGGGAACTTTGATTTTACACTGGATGAAATATATGCACTTTGAAATAATGGACGAGCTAAAGCAAACTGTGTAACTGTTAAATGAATAATAAAGAGTAATATTTTACCATAAAGAATACTTGAATAGATTTTTGAAATGAAAAATTATTTTAAAAAAAAGGTGTAGCAATATAGAAAGTTGACTTTCAGAAAGTTCAGCAACAAGTTTGGATCAATTTGATCTGATGTCTTTTTTGAGAAACTAGGCACTCGACAAAATTTTTTAGCACTAATCATTTTAACCAACGGGACTTCTTTATAGTAAAAACATAATAAAAGAGGGATATCTATATAACGTACAAGTTTTGAGATTCGTTATATGTTATTCCTATACGTCAAGCTGATAAAGCGATTTAGTGTGTGTTGTTTTAACTGAAGTGCTTTCATTCTCTCTTCAAGTTACTTTGGATTGTTACTTCGCTGTTCCGAAGTACTGAGCAAACTTCATTGACATAGATAGGTTTCAATGAAAAAATGTTCTAACCACTCACAAACATAAGATATAAAAGCGTTAAAATTATTCGAACTGATCAAACCCTAGGTTACGAAATATTTGTTATAAGGTCATACGTATATTCCAGAATGTTCAGTCAAAAACGGTAACAGAACTTGAGTTTCCAAAAAAAATTAACTAACTCGTCCTACCATAAACTGAATAAGATTAGCTTTTGTTCAACGAATCACAAGTTGTACGTAATATGGATCTCGAAAATCTTAATTATATCCAAACTTAGTTCACACACATGAGACCATCCGTAAAATCTAGTACCCCTCATCCGTTCATGGAAATGACCACAAAGTCTTACTTAGTCTGACAGCTATTATAATCTACTGCGCTGATATCCCAAACTGTTTTAGGGTTTTGAGACTTGATAAGGCAAGGATAAAGTAACATCTTCAAAGAACTTGTAGTGGAACGCTTCTACGAATAAAATGCAATTTTTGAAATGTAAACATTATTGTACTCATTTTGTTTAACTGTACCAAAAACACTTCTACTACTTCTTGCGCGCAACGTTCTCTTCGCGTTGCCGCCATCTCCCTCTATTTGCTGCTCCCTATGTAATGCCAACGTTCTCCTTCAATAAACAACTCAATCATGGATTTATTTTGCTTTCATTGGTGGCGGAATATTATGGAAAAGTTAGTGGTGAGCATAGTGATTATGGTATCTGGATTCGCTTACAACAAACTTAAAAAATGACAAAGAATCACAAGATTTAGAGATAAATGAGGTAGCCGCACAATCGAACGATGTAACTGTCTGTAACTTCCATAGAGAATAAACTCGATATTTTCTTGATAAACACCGAACAAACAGTTCAGTAATGTACCATGTAGAAAAGAACGCTAGAAAATCTGCATAGTATAGATTCTGACTATAAGCGTAATCGCTAGATGAATTCGTAACCTACTGTACATATTTTACACTCAGCACAAAAGTAGGGATGTACATAGACTTAGCCAAGTATAAATATATAGTAAAAGGTAATTAAAACGAACAATAAGGCTATTTGGATTAGCAAGGGCTTATTTGTGACTAACATGATAAGAATTGTTCGCCTATCACATCATTTATTTGGTTCAATAGGAGACATTTACATATGGGTGTAAAAAAAGGCTTGCTAGAGATAGGACGAATAGGTGTCACGTTACCGGATTAAAAACAGCCGCCCAAACGTGCAACAGAGAGGCAAAAAGGTTGTAACAATAGAATCCCAAATCTACAGGAATGTCTAGGTTTCATGATTAGTTAGTTATCTGTATGAAATAGACATAACAAAATTAAAAATGGATGCTTAAGCATTAAATTACATTAAAAGCATTCATAACCAATTACTTAGCGAGTCTATGTATTTCTTTTCCAGATTGACGCACAGAAAATGTTGACCATATGTATATCCGGTTTTTGGATAAACATAGGATGTATTCGTAAACGATAACTTTGGTATGCTGTGGATAATCCAAAATCCTGTATCTGTATCATCAAAAGCGAATGCTCCTGCGCAAAAATTATAATTTAGAAAACATACCTTTCATATGACCCCACCACAAGTTCTCTTCATTATAGCTGAACAGATTAGTTCCTTTAGGGATCTCATCGTTGTACATTCCAATTACAGAATCAGGCTTATCAATTAGCTCAAACATAGATTCGAATGTATGACTCATCATCCCATTTTCATTGATCGCATATTTGGAAAGCTGCCAGTTTCTCTGATCAGTGTTCATAAACACAACGTCATAACTTTTTGGTAATTTATAACCCACAAACCTAGAAAACTGTTACTAATTTAATTATTTTACCAGTCCACCGCTTGACCATCATCATCAAGGCATGAAAGAGAGTTTGTGAACCCAAATGTGTAAGTAAGAAAAAGTATTACAGAAGTTAACATGATAATTGTCAAATAATTTGAATAACTTCAATGTAGTTAATAGGTCAACGGGTTAACTTCCAGTAACTGAAACAAAAACCCTCAGTGTACAATATTTGTTCAATTTCTTCTTTAAAGGTGGGATAAACTAGTCGGTTTCTTTGCTCTCGATTCTTGTTTTTTCGGTACGGTTCGAGGTGTTTGATAGCGTCCGATTGACGGGGTCTAGCCATTCGAATGCACTGATTCTACTCAGTTGGCAGGTACTTGTGAGTTTGTATGTCCCGTGATTAGAATAAGTAAGCTTGTTACGTGCAGTAGGGTTTTTGTAAGCCAGCAGCTATCACATTATCAGACCGGAGATCAGTTAGTTGCAATTTGCAGTATAATAAAGAGAAAATTCTAATACTAACAAGAAGATTTCAGGACTAAGTAAATAAATGAATAGTTTGGTTTATTAAGTGGTAGCGAAGACTGTGCGAGAGGACCGAAGTGTAAGTAAGGAAGAGGAAACAGAGCCAATAAGTAAGTTAGATTAAGTAAGTGATCTAAGGAGATGGCAGCAGTAACAATTAACAGGTCACCCATTTCACTGCCTGTCTTTAAGCTTTATTAAAGAGAGAGGGTGCGATGACGTTATGAACCTCCACGTCTAGGCACGCATGCGTCTTAAACTCGCCAACTCACGTGCACTCCATTTACTTTGGTACGAAACTTTATATTCTCAAGGTAGCTTTTGAACCAAGATAAGAGTGGATAAGTGAAACCAATTTTCGCAGGCTTCACAATTAGGAGTGCATGGGCTACTCAGTTGAGGGCTTCTACAAATTCAAGAAATGTTATGTGAATCGGTAATTTTCAGCCTCAGCAGGTTGTCCAAATGTCTTATGCTATGAGAAAATTGGGTGCGCATGATCTGCCTTTCCAAACCCGCGATGCGATCCATAGAGGATTTTGTTTTTGTCCTTCTGCTCCCTCGTTCGATCGTTCACCAGCAATTCCATTATCTATGATATTATTGGTAGTAATGAGACTGGTCTGTAACGTGCCGAGTCCTTCTTATCTCCCTTATTCAAGATTGGCGAAAGAGTATCTTGTTTCCATTCAGCTTGGAGTGGGTGTGTTCTAGGGTGTCCCTGAACAGGTCACATATGGGTGAACTGAGGGTTTCTGCATACATTTAAGATTCTTATGGGAGACCTGAATGTCAAGGTTGGAATGGACAACACTGGATATGAAGACATCATGGGACGACATGGACTGGGAGAAGGAAACGAAAATGGTGAGAGATTTGCAAACCTATGTGCCTTCAACAAACTGGTCATCGGTGGCACAATATTCCCACACAAACGCATACACAAAGCTACATGGATTTCACCGGATCACACTACTCAAAACCAGATTGATCATATCTGCATCAACAAAACGTTCAGAAGGACTATGGAGGATGTGAGAACCAGGAGAGGAGCTGATATAGCCTCAGATCACCATTTGCTAATCGCCAAAATGAAACTGAAACTAAAGAAAGAAAGAACGTTTAGATACTTGGATAAAATGATAGGTGAAGTTGATACTAAAGATCTCAGCCATCTCAGTGTTGGTAAAATCTTCGCCGCTTGGATACTTCGGGGTGCAAACATCCTGGTTTGTAGGTTCACTTTTAGTCTTCAACCTAGATATAAATTTCGTTCGCCTGAAGTTTGATAGCCAGCTTTATTTTGAAGTGTCTCCTACCACTTCGAACTTTGAGGTAGTATCTTTTTCTCAATGCCATGTAAGACTCACGGTCGGAATCTTCCAGAGACCTTCCACTCGTACCAGGCTCTCTTTTTAGCCTGTAACATGCGTTCAGTGCGAGTAACACATGTTCTTATTTTTCTAAGTGTTTGGTGTACCTGAGGTACATTGTCTAGGACAGCATTCTGGATGATGTCTCTCACTGTTCACCAGTGACCAACGTCTGTCACAATCTACCACTCCTGTGGCCAATGAGCATGTAGAAGATTTCCTCTCATGCTCGCGTATTTCGCCCTAATGAAGCAAAGGTAGGGCCCGTTTTAGTCCTGCCTAAGTACTTCGTCTATGATCATTTTGAACATGGTCACTACTTCATATTGGTGTATGGACGTGAATATCCTTGACCAGAAGCTGATCACTTGTTAACAAATAATCCAGGCTGGAGAACTTTCCTTCCCTAGTCCATCTTGTGACACTGCATACATGCTCAGTAAGCCCAGAGCTTCTAGTGGCTACGTCAAGTCATCTTTGGGAGTTGGAGTTTCACGCTGATTGCTGAGATTTAGAGATGGGATGTTGAAATCTCCAGCTAAGAGTATTTGACCAGACTCAAGGGTTGGTAGCTGCAATATAGCCTTATTCAGTATATCTTTCTTGGACTTAGTAACTGAGAGAGGCCAGAAAATCCCTCCGGTCAGGTAGTTCGTGTCATATGTGTGGAAACAATACAAACATGATTCTGTCACCTAGGTTAGTTGAGTGTCCTATGGCCGCTGGGCTTTTAAATGGCTGTTTATAGCTATAGTCACTCCGCCTTCTATCTCATGTAACTTATCGCATCGGAGGATTTTCATGCCTCACCTCATTCCCTTATCGGTGGATGGCCAAGTTCCAGTTAGGATTATGATCTTCAGATCCATCTAAGAGCACATATTGTTGATTTATAACTGCTTCCCCATTAGTCCTCTTACGTTGTCTATAGGGGCACTTAGTGGTTTGTCTCATCACCTGGTGCACCTCTGTAGCAACAGCCATTTTTGAATTTCAAACAAGTTGTTTAAACCGAGTTGGCCAGTTCTGTGGGAACTGATTTCCACAGCTTTTTGCCTATGCAGCGCATTCAGTCGGCGTGAACATTACATTTGTGGATTTCACCAGGATTTGTTGGTCGAGGTGAAGTGTCGTTTATATGCGCTTATTTCGGCCTCCCTGTTGTTATCCCAAAGATCTAGGTTGGCTGTCGCAACATTTAATGTGACTAAGGGCTTCAGGACTCAAACGGTATCAAGCCCGAAACGGATCAATTAAGTCTTCTCGATTTTTGAGTCCATTTCTACAAATAAACGTCTGAAAATCCAAATCACTGTCAACGAACACAAAAATCAGAATTTTCAATACAGATGTCAAGACCATTCTACAATATGGGGCGGAAACTTGGAAAAATGCTAAAGCCATCTTCCAGATGATACAAGTATTAATTAACAGTTATCTACGCAACATTTTTCGGACCCGTTGGCCAGACGCAATCAACAACAACCCACTGTGGTAGATAACAAACTTGATTACAGCGGAGAAGGAAATCAAGAAGCGCTGGAAATGGATAGAACGCAAATTGAGGCAAGCACCGAACCGCGCCACAAGACAAGCCCTCACATGGACCCTTAAGGTTGACGGAAAAATGTTAGACCATAAAACACAATACTTCGAGAATAGCAGACAGACAATAAGAATGTTTTGGGACAGAGTTTTAGTAAAGCCAATAATTTGATTTCACTGAACGCGACAATAAGGATTCGGTAAGATAAGGACACTTGCCGTTGCCTCTTCGCCGTATTTGCCAATGCCCCTACTGACTGTAGTTAAGACAAGGTGAAAGATGAGTTTGACAGAAAGCTTTCGGACTTCCTCCAAAATATTAAGCTCTCTGATGTAGTAATAATAGCTGTTGACTTTAACGCTCAAGTACGTAGACTGAGTGACAATGAAAGACACCTTCATGGATCTTATGGTGTCGCGGTTCAAAGAACAGACGATGGCGACCGTCTGTTGCAACTATGCTCAGATAACTGCCTGTTACTAGTAAACACTAAATTTAAGCACAAGAATAAACATTTCTTGATTTGTCCACCCCCAAAGACACAACTTAATCACATCGCTATGAGCCATCTTTGGAAAGGGTCTAATGAAGATTTCCCTAGTGCCCTAGTGCGAGCGCGTACTTGTTCTCGAATTACTGAACGTGGGAAAGACACAGCGAGGAAACCTCATATGATACTACTTAATGATAATAAAGCTAAGAATATATTTCAGGAGCAACTAGAAAAACAGTTAGGCGACCATGCATATGATTCCCATCCGGAGGCATGTGAGGGCTTGTCTCGTGACGCAGTTAGGTGCTTTTCGCAGTGCGTGTCCTGTCCACTTCCACCGCTTCTTCCTGATTTCCTCCTCCACTGGAATTTCGTTTGTTCTCTCCCACAGTACGTTGTTGATGATGGTGTCTGGCCAACGAATCCGAAGTATTTTGCGTAGACAGCTGTTAATAAACACTTGTATCTTCTGGATGTTGCCTTTCGTAGTTCTCCAAGTTTCCGCTCCATACAGTAGAATTGTCTTGACATTTGTATTGAAAATCCTGATTTTGGTTTTGGTTGAAAGTTGTTGCGTGTGCGATAGAAGAGGAGTACATGAAACTTATACTTGCTCTGTACTTGAACACCACTTGTCGAGTCAGAGCTTATAGAGAACTGTCTTCAGAAATCATTACCTCACGTGGTACCCTTCAGGGTTTTCCTCTCTCTCCGCTCATGTTTAACTTTGTCGTATACATGCCTTTAGAGTTAGCATTATTCTCGTCTGATTTTGAGGAGTGGACCTTCTACCAGGAGATTCATTGGTTGACTTAAAACATGCCGCTGACATTATTGTTCTAGTTGGTGAAGACGCCAAAAAATGTAGAGTCTTCTGACTACCCTAAGCAAGCATGTTCGGGATGCGCCTTTCCCCCTTGAAATGCATAATGCTGCCTCAGTATTAGCTTGCGTCAGAACCTGAACTAGTGATAGGGAGTTGAAACAGTTGAGCGTGTTGACCGCTTCACTTATCTCAGTGCTGATGGCCTGGTGTCTGACGAAATCTCAGCATACATACAGAAGGCTGATACGGCTTTTGTCAACTTGCGTCACTTACGGCGTAGGTGAGATATCCGTTTCCTAACCAAAGAACCAGTCTACTGCCTAGATGATCGCTCCGTCCTACTACATGGATGCGAAACATAGTCAGTAAGAATAGAGGATATTCGTAGTTTGCTGCTTTTCGACCATAGGTGTCTTCCAAGTATTGCTCGTGTATCGTGGGACGACCGAGTAAGCAATGCTGTCGTTCGGAAACAAGTACTAATTAGGGATAGCAAATCAATCGATGAAGTAGTAAGTCCTCACCAGCTGAGGTGGTTGTAAGATGTGTTACGAATGCCCCACCACCGACTGCCTCGACGAGCGATGGTATGCTGTGTAGGAGTCGGTTGGAAGAAATCTAGGGGTGACCAAACCAAGACATGGCAGAAATCCATGAGGTCACTGACGAGTGGACTGAGTCATGTTTGTAGGTGTGGACTAGTTGGTTGGGGTCTGCGAGATGATAATAATCGATGGTTAGAGACCATGAATGCTACGTCTACTACAATGGGATTTGAACTGACAATTTCGTCTCTGTGCTAACGCAGTATGGCGACCTGAACTTATGTACTTACGTACGAAGTTCTACGTTGTAACTAAATAACTGACGTAACCATAAATGTAGAGGGCAGTCCAAGTCATAGTTGGTTGGAGACTCTCAGTCAACAGACTATAACTCCAAGATATGCGGCAAACTTAAGTGAGTATGGTCTTGTATTGAATCATAACTTGTTACTCTAGTGTGACATAATTTTTATGTGTATCAATAACTGATTATCATAGAATATCTTGTTTAGTTGTTACATTTCATTTACTACAGGATCAGCACTGGACGTTAGGTGTTTTTTTTAGGACGATTACCACGGGAAATGGAAATACAGCTGATTGATTAGTGACATTCTATGCCATGCTTGATCGATAAACAACTTCGCCGAAAATAGTGTGAAACAGATAGCACCTTAATCTACATTGACCTTGTTGATAACTATACTCTGCTTATTCACTAATCAGTTTTATTATCCCCAACCTCATATCTATGTCATCGAGTTACTGTGTTGTTTTGTGCGGTTTGTTACTTTTTTTTTAAAATGATTGCACTAATTTTTTTTCATCCTAATCAATGGCTGAAATTATTTAAATGAACATCAAGTAACAGTGCTATCAGAATTCTCATACAATTTACACACATGTTAATATGGTCTTGGTCCTATGTCAATTTGAGAATTATGAATATGTGCAACGTTTCACATAAATGTCAATTGAGATAAACGAGTTAATTTAAGAGTTAATTATGTATGTATTGAAATATAAAGTTGATGAAAATTTACTCGACTATTGAACATTTAGAAGTTCATGTAAACTCTATCAAGTTTAAATGATTAGAATCACATGAATATTCTATTAGAATACATTTCAGACTACATTTTGTCAATACAATTAAGCAGAGTATCTGATTTACTTACATAGTAAAATCATGACAATAGTAAATGGTATGAACCATTCAATTTGTGCATTCTATCCCCATCACCTTGTCAGCTTAACTCCAGGTGTGAGTTATCATCCCTCAGTTCACAATTACTAACGCTAATTATTTAATCTTCTGTGGATATCAGTCACTGCTTAACGCAAAGTTTCTTTGGAAATTTACACTGCAGCCAAGATTTTCTAACCCATGTAACGCTGGTGATTCAGTACTAAAAGAAAAGTTGTAGATCAGCTCTCTCTCTCTCTGTGTATCTTAGATCTTGAAACGTATATATATATATATATATATATATATATATATATATATATATATATATATATATATATATATATATATATATATATATACATGCAATAATTACGAACCACAACCAAAAAATAGTGATAATCTTTATTTGCATATTTTAATCCATATTTATTTGTGTCTACTAGGAGTGTGGTGTGAGCTACTTATAAGTAGTATATGACGTGAGTAAAAACATAATGTCTGGCAGCATAATATGGAAGAGTTAGAACACAATGGAATTTGTATGAAACGCATGAATAGTGACAATCGATTGATGTTTTGCAACAGGAACAGTCCAGTTCGATATGATGAACTGATATTTTGCAAATTAACGATTTACGATATGGTTTTCCGATTTTACTGAGTAACTCTGTAATTTTCGTTAAATACAATTCGGTTGCCCTCACCTGTGTTCTGCTTCACTAGAGGAGTTATTTTATGCAGAAAATAGCAAAGAAACTACACCTTAACAAGTATTTAATTTACGCATGAAATAAATATATCGTGCACAATAGAGGTTCAGTTTTCCTTTTTTTTTTTAAAACAAAAAATGAATTTTACTAACCATATATATATAAAAGAATTTAATATAATTACATACACACAGTGTGTGTATATAAAAAAAAGTCATTGCATTTTGTCCGTGTTCGTAATAAAATAACATGAATTCAGATTACCAAATTCAAAATTGGAGTCAGTCAACAATCGCGCGCATGTGTGTGTGTCTGCGTGATATTTGAATAATCTCAATCATCATCATCATCATCATGTTCAATTCTCAAAGTGAATAATAATTATCATTGACTACGACGAAATGAAAGAGTAATATAATGACATAAAAAAAAAAAAAGTAAATCAAATCTATTTTCATGTTTTAGGCATCATTGAAATCATTTCACAGTTGATTGGAATAAGTAAAAGTTATTTTTTAACTAAGTAATTAATGGTTAGAAATTACGCAGAAAATTACAATCTCAATGAAATTCTTTGTATATATATATATATATATATATATATATATATATATATATAATAAAAATAAAGAAACAATTTAAAAGAATCAATGTTGTACATAATCCATTAAAAAAGAAGACGGCTTTGTATAACAACAACAACAACAGAGAGTTAAGCTCTCTTTTCTACCATTCACATCCATATATGTTGTCATATTCAACAACACAACTATGCCAACCAATAATAATCAATGAATCCAGCAGTCGTCAATCATTAAACATAATAAGAAGCATCAGAAATAACAAATTTATAATTATCTAATTGTTCTGGTGTAAATTTCAACGATTGTTCATGCCATACATCTTGATGACTACGTGAATAAGTGGATAAAGTTGAGGAGATAACTTTTTTAATTGACTGAGAATCATGCAAGTGATTAGCTAGTTCTGAGATAATCAATGGTAAATAATCCGGAGTTTGATGTGGATTGCCGTGAACAAATGAGCATAAAGCTAAAATGGCTGCATATCGATCACGTAATGCGATGGCATATTCATGATTATTATTATTATTGTCTGAAAAATTAGTTGGTTGAGTATGGTGGTCACTGTGATTTGTAGGGTTGATAGGCATTGAAGTTTGTTTTGGTAGGGTTCTATTGATTTGTCTGATCAATTGACCAACCCATTTCTTATCATACTGAATAAAACATGATATGAAAAGAAATACTATGATATATATACATATATATTCATTGATTAACTAAATTTCTGAATTATGAATAGAATCAAACGTAAAATAAATATCACTAAAGTCATTCGATGAAAGTAGAGCTTTACTGATTGAGAAATTTTCTACAGTAGCTGATTTACCAAGTACAAACTTATATACACCGTTTTAATCCATATGGTTTGCGTTAGATTTCCGCTGACAAACCTCATTGAAACTTAGACAGTAGACTATATAAAGTTTGGAAACTGTAATCAAATATAAGTTCAGCGAAGAGCTTCCCCAAAGAATTCAAAAACATTATCGTGTTTGACTGAAAACAGGCGAAAACGGTTCAATAGTCAAACACCTTGTGAACACAAGTCATTCAATTCTGCGTTCAAAGTAATCATCTATAAGGTAAGTGAAGAGCCATAAAAGCTAGTTGACTGTGGTGTTCTTAGTATTGCCAGATCACTTGCCATACATTCGGAAAAAAACCAGAGTTATGTGAATAGAAGTGACTTCTCGGGTTAGTACTATGTTTTGGTTTGGTCACCCCTAACTTTATTCCAACCTACTCCTACACCGCAAAGCATCGCTCGTCGAGGAAGTCGGTCGATCGATCTACCATCCATAATTAGTACTCGTCTCCTAACGACAGCATTGCTTACGCCGTTGTCCAAGGATACATGAGCAATGCTTCGAAGACATCTATGATCAAAAACTAGTAACCTACGAAAATCTTCTATTCTAACCGGCCACGTTTCACAACCATATAGGAGAATGGAGCGAACTGCTGCACAGTACACTCGTCCTTTAGTTAGCAAACGGATATCTCGCCTATGCCGTAAGTGATGCAACTTAACAAAAGGTGTTCCAGCCTTCTGTATCTGCGCCGAGATTTTGTCAGACACCAGGCCATCAGCACTGATGAGACTCGTGAGATAAGTGAAGCGGTCAACACGCTCAACTGTTTCGGATCCCTGTCACTAGTTCAGGTGCCGATACATGTGTGAGCACGTGAGTATATACACTGATGAGTGTTTGAAATAGATGCTGGGCGATTGAGTTATGATAATAACAAAAGTTCGGCTACAAACTTTCCTTCCAGTTTCAAGGCTAGGCATAGAGAAACCCGTTTAGATAGGTGAACCAATTAGAACGAAGCTCACGTCAGCTTACAGTTAATTGCATTGGTCAGAACACTAGGCTTTAGACGAAATAGCGTAAGCAGAATTCCGATTGACGAATTTACCAGATAATATTGATTAACATCTCGATACACAACTATGAAGTTAACTTGAGAAGACTGAGGCAGGCTCGATAGATTGTATTTGGCAAATTTACACTCTTAGTCAATTAAAAACGAAAACATCACATTGAACACTCTATTTGCACACCATCTTTGAGTCCTGACTTCCAACGCTCCAGCCTTCTTCCATTCCTGCTGCTGCTTCCTTTACTTCCTGTCGATGCTCTATTTATTTCTTGTTTTTGCTGTATTTGCTTTCCGTTTTCCTCTTCTGACCGTGAGACTTATTCTTTCACGTCCATTCTTATACTACTTATATCGTTCGTATAAGTAGCACACACCACAAACTTATTTTACACGTAACAACGTGCAGCTGTAATTTAGAGCAATTCAGTCTCGTCAACTTAGTCAATCGCCAACGATTATATATATATATATATATATATATATATATATATATATATATATATATATACAGCTAGTTAATCTACCAAATTAATTGAATTCGCATAGATTTCCTACAATTTGAAGATAACTCTGATTATGCACTGACTGACTTTATGAAGCAGAATAACAACATTGCTGTGTGTCCCAAAATACGCATTTTTTTTTTGGTAGTTTATTGCAGGTGAATCACATCTTTCATCTCAACTTGATTCACCCCTCAAATGTTATAATGATAGAAAGTTTTAAACAAATTGAAAATTTATAATAATAATAATAATCAACTTTGTATATTTTTTTTTTACCTTAATCACACCAACCTCAATGAAAATAGCCAGCACAAACATAGCGACTTGACTAAGTTCAAGCATAGAATCATTTAAACACTTCCATAAAATACTTTTTAATCGTTTATTCACAGAATTATTCAATGTAGTAGTAGTAGTTGTTGTTGTATTCTCTAATGATAAATTCCATTCAAAGCTATGAAATGCTGTTACATTGAATACTATAAAATTTCTTAACAATAATAATCCTATTGCACGTGTACGCCATGATCGATGCTGTAGGAAATGTTGTAAGAATTCTTCAATAAATGATAAAATATTATCATTCAAATTATTAGATTGACCTTGTCCTGAGAGTGGTAATGCAGATATATAAATTAAATAAGCTGAAATGCCACATATTAAACCATCATTCATATCATCATCATCACCAGCACCAGCAGCATTGATTTTGGCATAATTGTGTTTACGTGACAGGGAACAACAATGAGTGTTTTGAAATATTTTCATATTTAATGCACAAGTGAAATAATCATATGCATTGCCCATAGAACAAATATCCGCTAGCAATGGTGCTAATAAACAACAAATCTTTGTACGACTTAACATTGAATATTCATACTGATTTGTTTGAATGGAATTCTCTTCATTTATTAATGTGGATGGCGATGATGGCGATTGCGGCGGTGGAAATGTAGGACAACTGTAGTTTAACAAAACTCTTAAACATGAATATAAACAATACAGACGATTAGATAATACAATAATTTCTGAAAGACGATAATTTTTTTTACCGATAACATTATGATCAGGTGAATGATTATTATTATTATTATCACTATTATTATAACTGCTACCGTTGTCTGTTGTAGCTTCTGTAGTGGTATTCTGTAGAAAAGAAGAAACGATAAATGTATATATCTATATATATAATATATGAATAAAAATCTTTTAAAAAATACTTTGGATCGCAAAAAATCTTCTATTTAAATAACCTCTTACATAGATAGAATTGTGGGGTCCATTTATCTGCGTGTTCGGATAGCTCGGTAATTAGCTCGTCTAGACAATCGTCACTAAGTAGCGTCTGACGGTTATTAAATCAGAAGGCGAATTCAAAGTATGAATACGTTTATATTTTGGACACACCACATAGCGAAGTTGAAAAGCAGAGAAAGAATGAGCGAAGGAAGAGAACGAATAAGCGAAGCGCATTGGAGAAGACAAAGAGCCAACTCCAAGAAACAGAGCATGACTAAGAATATATATTCAGACAAATATAAGACAGACATGAAACAAGCGAAATAGGCAAACATGAATAAAAGCGACGAATGATTGACAAGGTCAAATAACAAGTGGGACACATCGTGTTGTGGTGTGAGCTACTTATAAGTAGTATATGACGTGAGTGTCAACGTAATGTCTGGCAGCAGATGATGGGGGAAGATCAAGAAAGGAAGAGTTAGAAAACAATGGAATTTGTATGAAACACATGAATAGTGACAATGGATTGATGTTTTGCAACAGGAACAGTCCAGTTCGATATGATGAACTGATATTTTGCAAATTAACGATTTACGATATGGTTTTCCGATTTTACTGAGTAACTCTGTAATTTTCGTTAAATACAATTCGGTTGCCCCACCTGAGTTCTCGTTCACTACAATGTGAGCTCATGCAAACCAGACAATAATAAGAACGAATGGAACACATAAGTTGTCGGTACGCGAATGGCTTGGTTAAATAGATTAATCGAAAGGGCTGAACCAAGTTAGATGTAAGCGAACTGGAATATATGTGGAGGAACTACAGAATCACACTTCAGTGTCCAATTTCAAATTCTCTGTTATCTACGCTCAATCAAAATGATAACTGATGAGTTAGTCAAATTACAAATATATATATATATATATATATATATATATATATATATATATATATATATAATACAGAAAATGTTCTACCTACATTCAATACCCACCCAATGATCAATCATCAATAGTGTAGTGAATGAGAACACAGGTGGGGCAACCGAACTGTATTTAACGAAAATTACAGAGTTACTCAGTAAAATCGGAAAACCATATCGTAAATCGTTAATTTGCAAAATATCAATCCATTGTCTGACATTTCACTGTTAATGCGTTTCATACAAATTCCATTGTATTCCCGCTCTTCTTCCTTTCTTGATCTTTCCCCATCTTCTGCTGCCAGACATTACGTTTACACTCGCGTCATATACTACTCATAAGTAGCGCGCACCACAATAGTTATTCCAAGCAAACAGTAACAACCAAAACGCAACTTGTAAACACATCACATAAGTCATTGAGAGAGAGAGAGAAAAGAAGAACCATGATGATCATATAGTTAGAAAAAAATTGTGAACTTACTTTGTAAACTTCTTGAATTACACTAGAATGAATATATTCCGGTGGAGCTGTTGATAACATTAAACTTGATTGTGATAAATTGATTCGTTTTAAACGTAACACATTCAATGTATCACGAACAATCAATGGTAAGAACTGGAAATAATTTAAAAAAAGAATAACTGATAGAAGAAGTTTGGTATTTATTTGATCATAAAAATATTGTTCGCTTTGCATTAGTTTTCACTGTTCAATAGTTTGATTATACCATAATACACACACAATAATGAAACTTGACAGTTATAGTTAAGTCAGTTGTTTTCATTCTTTTTGTGCAGTTTAAAAAATCTACTTTTTTTATTAAAAAAAAGTCGTTCTGATTGCGTTTCATCAGTAAATCAATATATTTTATTTTATTTAGATTACTTTAACAATTCACAAAACTCAGTCAGTCAGTCAGTCAGTTGCAACGTAGAACTTCGTATGTATGTACATAAGTTCATGTTGCCATACCACAACATTAGCACAGAGACGCAAATGTCAAATCAAATCCCATAGTGATAAAGATGGTAGAGGTATTAATGGTAATGAATAAGACTAGGGTTTGAAGATATTATTCAAGAAGTATAATTCAGTGCGATAAGTTTAGAGAGACAAAGGTAGAGGTGTTGACAAATCCAGAAGATTAGGATTTGAGAGAGCTCAACGAATGGATGCACTTGCGCCATTGCAAGCGATTTTAAGCCATGTCGTTCGTTCAAGGTCTCTAACCATCGGTGACTTCACAAAACTGAAAATATTTTATATGATTTGGCATTATTTTGAAAAGTTTGCTCATTGTTCACTTGCAAATTTTGTTTGTTGAGTCACCTAATTTCATTGGTACTGGGGGTTGCTTTTCAGCACTCACAAGAGTCAAGGTAATGCATATCATCGTTGCTGATAGTGATGAGTTTGACTAATAATGCAAACCGGATAGGTTAAGATTAGCCAGTTTACAATGTGCATATTGATTGACGCGATCATGGATAGGAAATAATCACTATACATATTAGTGTATAAAAATGGTGTGAATGTTCAACCTGAGTGATTGAGCCAAAAAATTAAGCTGAGCTACTCAGTTTGTAGTGTTCATGCCTGAATAGTGTGTAGTTTTCTCCTACGAAAACCACTGTAAAATTATCATAGAGTAGTGTAAGGGTAGTTCCAGTTAATTGTAAATAAACTAGTTGATCCTCCCAACAGTTATGTGTGTTTGTCTCAGAGATTAAACTATACATGTTCAAGTACATAAGTTTAAAACGGTCAGACTGCGAGTGATTCATTTAAATCAGCTTACGTTCATCATTAGATCGTTAACAGTATACAGATAATTGTAGTAAATGTAGAGCTAATAAATGCTTTGAATCCTTCTTGATCGTCAAGGGGAAGGATGCACAAGTGTCGGTCGACACGGAGAGATTAGAGTTCGATGGTATTATTCTGGGAGTATAATTCAGTGAGGCGAATTTAGGAAGAGAAAGAAGTGATGAAGAATTCAGAAGATGAGAATTTCATAGAACACAAAAAATGAATGCACCTGCACCCATTGCAAACGGTTTTGATCCATGTCATTCAGGGTCTCTAACCATCATCCCGCGGGCCCCAACCAGCTAGTCAATACCTACCGACCTGACTTAGTCCACTTGTTAGTGACTTCATGTATTTCTTCCATGTTTTGGTTTGGCCTCACCTAGCTTCCGTCCAACCTATTCCTACACCGCAAAACATAGCTCAACGAGGCAGTTCTTAGTTAGGCATACACAACACATGTCCAAACCACCCTAACCGATGACGTTTCAATACTTCATCTATTGACCTGCCATTATTACCTAGCACCCGTTTCCTAACTACAGCATCGCTTACTGACTTAATGTAACACTAGTTTAAAGCAATAAATAAGCTGATAAAGTCAATAAACACTTATTCCCATAATATAATTGATATTATCTAGTGCACAGTGTCAAAAACTATTTCATGGTAAACTAGCTTATAATGAGAATATGTAAACTCCATCTTTTATTTTCTGTTGCTCATTGATGTTCTAGATAAAATTACACTCACTCTTTAACATTCATAACTAGTGGTGCTTTGTATGTAAGATTTAGATTTAAGTTTTTATGTGTCTGTTTCATTTTTTTTTAAATTTAAGACTTCAATACAAAAACTAAAAATAAAAGAAGTAAGAGAGTACACCAACAAAACCAGTCTATATACATTTTCAACTTACCGACTTTAATAAAAACTCACCACCAAGCAATTCCGATTGATCATCAATTTGAAACAAATCCCTGATAAATAATTGATAATTGAAAATATCATTGATTGATAATTGTTTTGATAAACATATCAATTCGGTTTGTTTTGATTTATATGTAATAATATTTAAATTAATTTTATTATTATTAGAAATTAAATTATTCATTGGTAATACACGATAGACAGCATGACTAGCGGATAAATCTCTTAACCAGACAGAATTATTACATGCTTGTGAATACCATCGATCAGAAGAATTGAACACAGTTGAATGATGCTGACGCTGACGATGAGACAAAGAAGAAGAAGATGGTTGATATGATAGCAAATGTTTATACAATGGTATACCAAGCCAACCTAATGAAAATACAAATTTATAACATAATCTTTCATAGAATACACGACGATGAACTAATGGTAAATGTTGAATTAATATACACGATGGACAATCATCATCTTTAGTCATGGTAAGACCATGTTGACAACATGATGCATTGATGCATTGTGCACTATGATTATCATTGCCATTGTCATTGTGATTCGACTCGATCAATCCTTGTATTGCCCAATCCCATAATGGATGTAAACAGTGAATATCTAAATTCGCATTGCTTGTAGCACAATTAATCACATAATCATACATGAAATAAATACGATGATATGGTCCACCGGCTAATGATTGTTTAACAACTCGACCAGAGGATAAATCATTGGATTTGATTGCTGCCGTAAAATTTTTATGACAATCATCAACTACAAGGCAAAGTATTCAAGAAAAAAAAATATCAGAAAAAAATCAATAAAAAAAATGCAAGAAACAGTTGAAATAAAAGATACAGTCGGAAAATTCAATTTATTATTAATATATACCATGTATTTATTAAATCATTCAAAAGAAAGTGTGATTATCAGGACAAAAGAAGTAACTAATCAGGTATACGACACACCAACTAGTGGGATTTGTATTTGGGCTGGGTCATTGCTTGTGTGCCTAAATCGAAGCAAGTGGTCTCCTTACAGGGGAGGGGCCACTGCTTGGGATGTTGACCTAGCAGTCTAATCCAAAAGGCCGTGGAGCAACGTTAGAGGTTACAGTCGCATGGTAACCGGTCAGTGATACTAAGTTCATTCGTCATTTTTCCCCTGAGAATCCTAGAGCTCATATGCACCATCAGTTAGTTAGAGTCAGGATTTTTCAATTGCTCCATGCGTATTCTCCATACCTACCCAACCCATTTCAAGCGCCGGACACTCACTTTTCATCCTTTCAACTTCACAAACAACAACCTTGCCACAAAAATTCAGTGACTATACACGCGCATCGATAACATAATAAAGTATTTGAGGCTATGATGCTGTCAAGAGTGAAACAGTAGAAAAAATTTGTCTGAAGCTGGAATATCAGCAGCATGGATAATAAAACAGGGATGAATGAAAGTAACATCGTTACAAATAATGTAACAGATTAAAATGATAATATCATTTACAAGCTGTGAAAATGATTGTTCATAACTCAAACAACAACATATTATTATTATTATTATTATTATTATTGATCAGTAAAAACATGCAACAAATTAATCCGATAGTCGCTGAGTTGGTCAGAAAAAATATTTAAAAGAGCATACATTGAAAGTAAATATACACTTATTTATCTCAAAATCCTATTTCTGCTTTGATTTTTAACATTAAGTTAGTCAGTCGACTCAATGCGGAATTTGTTCCGTACGTAGATCAGTCCAAGTTGCCATTCTACATTAATACTAACATCACGAGAACCCCAACCTGGTAGCCTATGCCTATGAACATCGTTCAGTCCAGTTTTTGATGACTTCATGGATTTATGTCATGATTTGGTATGGCCGCCCCTACTACTACTAATACTACATCACAAAACATAGTTCGTCGAGGCAATCGGTGGTTGGGCATATATGTAACACATCTCCCCCAAGGTGGTCAGAAGACTCCACAGTCTGTCAGCATCTTCACTAAACAGTACTATACCATTCGCGTTTTATAAGTTAACAAGCAGATTATAGAGTGTTCGCTCGGACATCTCTCTTAAATGTATCAAAACTATTTTAAATAAGGCATACGTTGGAATCCGACACACACACACACACTCTCTCTCTCTAATAGTAGCTTTTGTGCGACACTCCGTCGCATAGTATTTGTAAGCCACATTGAGAATAATGACCAATAAACTGCTACTTATATTTATAACATTAAAATACCTCTTATCATATCGATCATTCTCCTTGTTAAAATAATTCTCATCTTTCAAAACAAACATTCAAACTTTTCATTTAATTTAATTGTAAATTTGAGTCATATAAATTATAATATATTCTAACCTGCAATATCACCATCATCATCATCATCTTCATCTCGTCCACCAGCAAATTTTCCAGCATAACTCGGTATGATCCATGGGACATGTCGTACAGTGGGATGTAATTTTTCATCGATCGATTGAGCCAATCCATCAATGGATACATTCAATGCAGCAATTTCGGACCAACACAGAATTTTCGGTATAAATAAACGCCAAAAATAATATTTCCATTGACGTGACCATATTGAACTAAGATTAATTAAACTAGTTAATATAATTTGTATCCAATAGAAACTAATGAATTCCGCTTTACCATCTAATGGTAATTTAGAATTTGGCAATGTAATCATCAACAAAGTCTCAATGAAATGCGCCAAATGTTTGAACATATTCTCTGGACCAAATGATAATAAACATGATTTAATGAAATCATGTATTATATTGCCATAATATTGTTGTTTCATTGCATGAAATCGATGTATGTATAATAAGTGTTTAGCTAATAATGACCAAAATTGTTGAGTTTGCTTATTTGTAGGACTACATAATTTACTAGCTAATAAATAAGCCAATTCTTCTTGTTTATGCTTATAATTTTGTTGATTATCAATTATGATGAGATGTGATAACCATGATGTGAATTGATCAGATGAATTAATACTACTATTGACATGATCATTAGAACCGATTGTAGTAGTATTGATTTGTTTTGGCCGGTTTTCTGCAATCAATTGTCCATTGTGATCAAATGTTGGATAAGGTAGATTGGCATATGGATTGTAGATATATAAATGAACAGGATAATAACTGGAAGTACACGGAGAGAAAAAAAATGCTCAGAGGTACAAAAAACAACCGAATAAAATCATCAATGATCATCAAATAAAACATATGTGATTAGATTAAGACAATATATACAAATGGATTATTTAAGTAAATCACAATTATTGTTATAATATATTATAGTGGTATTTAAATTAAAGTACCTGGTCAGTCAGTCAGTCAATCAGCTCAACATAGAACTTCGTACGTACGTACGTACATCAGTCCATGTTGCCATACCGCATTAGCAGAGATGCAAAGCTTGACTTGTATTTTATTAACTTCCATATTTTGTTTTACTAAACACTTGTTCATTGAATTCAATGTTACTAAGTTGTATGGAGTTGAAATGTCGACATGGAAAATTTAAACAATGATAGATAATAATTGAGGTATATGATTTATCTTGAAACAAAAAACTAAAACACACAAGTATTCATTTTTAAATTAATTCAATAGGATAAAATACGAAAAAGCACACCTCATGAAAAAAGAAAACACGTAAAAAACAGACAGACAGACAAACTGCTACAACGCAGAACTTCGTACGTACATACATCAGTTCAAGTTGCCAGACCACACTAGCACAGAGACGCCACTGTCAGTTTGTTAGGATATTCATCCAACATCCTAAGAGAATTATTGGTCAATTCCTACTGGTCAATATTATGGTCGTCCTAGATATCAATGTCACGTGCTCCAATGTTGCTTCTTATTGGTTGTCCTGACTATCGATGTCACTTCAAACGTTGCTTCCTATTGGTCTTCTTAACTGTCAATGTCACAGACTTCGATGCTGTTTCCTATTCGACCAAAATGTATAAATACGCATTATCTGTAACATTTTAGGACCAGGACCCGGTCCCGGATCCTGATTCTTCTCTGGACTCGGACCTCGTACTTTCTGAGTGCTTGTAGAATACATGTTTTACTTCACATCAAGTCTTCTTCTTTTAATCAGTGTGGGTTTGGGACAATCGGATTTGAGTAGCATGTCATGTCGCCGGACCCACGCTCTCGTATTCCGACTAGGTAAACTCGAAATAGTTCAAGCATATCAAGTTGACATGTTTACGTGCAGGCTGAACACAGTTCAAATCCAATAGTGGTAGAGATAGTAGAAGTATTAGCAGTAATGGAGAAGATATGATTCGAGTAGTATCATTCAGTAAGATAAATTTAGGAAGATAAAGATACAGATGATGTGGAATTCAGAAGGCTAGAATTTGAGAGAACACAAACAGTGGATGCACCTGTGCCATTGCAAACGCTTTGAAGCCATGTCGTTGAAGGTCCTATACATAAACAGAATATCTTAAATAAATAATAATAAAAAATAATACAACCATATACTATGATATTTTTACTTGTTATATTTACTATGAGAAATAACAACGAAAAAAAAGCTAACCAACATTCATTCCCGCATCTTTGATATTTTTACCAAAAATAAATTTTTACATATAAAATAAAATAAAAGTACAGTTTATTAGAGTTTTATTATCAATATTATTATTATTATTATTATTATAGAGGATGCATCAAAAACAGTAGATATACGTATATACATATGCTTCATTATAAGTGCATGTTAATTAACAGTGATTAAAAAAATTGAAAAACTGATCAAATCTGATAAATTCTAATGAATACACAAATAGACATATTGTGTTATGTACGATGTCTTAGATCTAAGAGTAATGCGGCACTCAATCCAACTACCTCTACCCAACGCCCCACCTGCTCCAAAACCGACTATTAACTGGCCAAGAAGAGAAAAGTGAGAATAGAACATTTATTTGTCTATCCGAATCATAAGCCTAAATACTCTACTTACAACCATTTTTAGCCGCAACTAGTCATAGTTGAAGTGATTAGCTATTAATAAACAAGTCATAATGCCGGTTAAATGTACAACCCATTCTAAAATGACGTAAAATAATATGATCAGTACTTTTATTTTACTAATAATAGCAGAGGTTGATTAAAAATGGTACAAGAAATTATGAACACCAAAAAAAAAGATTAAACGACTCTCAGCTCACAATAATAAATACAGTTAAATGTGAAAATGCTTTTAAAACAGTTAGATATGCTATAATTTTTTTACAGATGAATCTAATTACAGGCTATATATACATATATATATATATGTAAAATTGTGTGATAGTTCAATATACTACTTATTTACTCATAAAAAACAAACAATAAACTGCTGACTACAGAGGCAGAAGAAGAAGAAAAGAAAGTTATGCTGTAGATACTTACCATTCAATTGATTGCATAACTAGAAGAATATATATGATATATATGAAAAAAAAAAGAAAGTGATATATGTTTTTTGTTCTTGTACAGCATACACCATTTTATATGTTAGGAAGGAGGGAATCAATATTTGTGTACATTAAAATTAACATTAGCAAGTGTAAATAATTTTACTTGAGCATCTAAACCTACATGGATAAAGATTGAAAAAAAGACTATTTAACTAAACGATGTCCTTGGATAGCTTAAGCAACTTGTATGATAGACAAATGGCATAGGAGCTGCTTTCTAATCTGATTAATCAAGCAACGTAGGAAGGTCTCGTGTGATGTTACGGGTATGAGGGTGGTTGTCACTTCCCGGCTACCCACACCGTGGAAGGTTGTTTCTTGATGGACCTGAAAAGGAAGGTAGATTAGTATTGGTCTTAGAGACCTGGGTGCGTGATCGCAGAGCTCATGGGACAACTGCTTGAGGCCGGTCACTCACGGCCTTTTTATGAGCAGTTTTTGGAGTGATAGCTCCGCTCTTCAAAGCCCTTAGCGGGCACCCTTACCGACGGAGGCGGAAATCCGTGAGGTGGGGTCGACCTTGCCTAACCCCTTCCTTCCTTCCTTGTGAAAAGGCAGTATCGCTGAAGATGCTGGTTGTCCGAGGGAAACACCTTACTGCTGTCACACCCCTCTGCAGTCAGCAGTACGACTTCGCCCTCAGACCTTGAGTAGCTGATTTTAGTCTCATCGTTCTCCAATCGACCTGCCTGGCATGGTAGAACCTTCAGGAATATATGTTCCAGCCAATATAGCTCGGTTGGGTCATGACGATAGGCAAGCCCGACCACCACGTCAAGGTAGCAGCTTCGGTCGGGTGAAATAGTGATCATTTCATATGTCAGTTATATAAGGCCATGTATTCAATCGCTTCAGCGAAAAATGTTGAGTGAATAACTATAAGCTGATGTTTCAATTACTACTAACTTGTATAATACAAATGTAGAATATTGAACAAAATCTTTCAAATAGACATTCAAATTACCCGTTTCATTTAATAGTCTATATACATGTATATTGTCCGAAAGAAAATTATACGTGTGAATCTTCAGTTTGAAAAGCAATAACACTGGTGACATACTAAGAAGTAGTCTGGAGAGATTGACTTTAAAAGAACTTTCACAGTAAATCTTCATATCATGTATCACAGTCATAAGTTCTTATGCTTACACATAAAGGATACATAGACAGATACAACGCAGAACTTCGTACATAAGTACATCAGTTCAGGTTGCCATACCACATCAGCACAGAGACGTAACTGTCAGTTCAAATCCAACAGTGATAGTGATAGTAGAAGTATTAGCAGAAATGGAGAAGATTAGTGAGCGAAGATATGATTCGAGGAATATAATTCAGTAATTTTGGGGCACAGCTTTGGAGGTTTGCGTTTTTACACATTTGAAATCACCAATCAATCATTGTTAGACCACCATTAGAAACCTGGAAGCACTAGACGGCCATTTCGTCCCGGTATGGGACTGATCAGCAGTGCGCATCCACGACTCCTGCACCTCGCAGGATTTGAACCCAAGACCTTCGGTATTGTGCGCGAACGCCTAACCATCGGACCACTGGGCCGGCATCCAACGGTGTTAATGTCTAACTCTGATTGATCTATGGATTTTGCGCGACTTCACCCATTCGTCTTTGGTAGTTACTGCCTACACCCGACAGCGCTTAACTCCATTGATCACGTCTTCTCAACTAGAACTCCGAGACTTTCCTCACGAAGCTAGTTACTAGTGAGCACTGTTACGATATTTTGGGGCAGAGTTTTGGAGGTTTTGTGTTTTTACACATCCTTCATAAAAAGGCTGTGCGTGACCGGCTTCAAGAAATTGTCCCTTGGGCTCTGCGGTCACGCTCCTAGGTCGTTAAGACCAACGCTAATCTAACTTCCTTTTCAGGTTCCTCAAGAAACAACCTTCCACGGTGTGGGCAGCCGGGAAGTGACAACCGCCCTCATACCCGTAACAGCACACGAGACCAAATTAGTCAAAATAAAGGATACATTGTCATGAATGATCAGAATTTAAGTGTATACACTAATTCATCTATTTTCCTATGAATCTAAGCAGGTAGGTTAATTGTCGAAGTCGCTTCTTCGCACATTCAAAGGGAATCTTGAGGGATAACTTGGCAAACAAAAACATCTAGACTGATCAATGGACAACTTGATTCAATTGTGGTGGTGGTGGTGGTGTTTCGTTCTCTGAGCTGGATGTTTTGGTTGTGGAGCTTAAGATTCAAATTTATACTTTAACACTAATTGTAAGATTCAATCAAATCACATATGGTTTAATATTTGCCTAGAATTATGTTAATAAAATATTAGGTTATGGACAAACAATAAAATCAGTGTTATCTATGAAAGATTATTATGTATGTTACATTTTATGAAGGAAACAAACACACATCTATGCTGTTGATGCTGCATAATTGGAGTAGGGTAATCAGGAAGAACGTTTAAAATTCACACTGTTAGATGGATTTGCATTTTTGTAAGAAGTTATTTCTCTTATTGGTTAAAATAAGTTGCCCAAAGTATGGTGTGACTGATAGTTTATTCTAACCAAATTTATAGTACCGTTACACAATGAAAACGTATCGGGCGGGATTCAATAAACCAGTTCAGTGAGTCGTTACCTAAAACAACACAAATGGAGTGTTTCATTTCACTTAGAGTAACGACTAAAAAATACCGACAAGAAATTAGTATGCTAATTTGAAAAGGTTAACATGCATATGAAATTCAATAAAACTTGTTTACCGCAATTAAAAAAACCATGAACAAACATTAATCCGATTGAAATATATTGAAGCATAGAGGACGAGCGCCCAACTTGTGATCTTGAGTTATATCTAACGTGAACTTCATCGTATTGGACAGAATAGAAGCCTAAAGTGGATTATTTTAAATAGTAATCTTCACACACAACCCTCGGGAATCTTCATTAGTTTGTAAAACTGAATTTTTTTTCACAGAATACCAAAACTTTCTGTTCAATAAATTTTCTTTAGTATTTCGAATTAATTAGAAAAAAAGGATAACTGTATTCAGTAGTTTACGTGTAATTTACCACGTTATAATCTGTTGTAAAAAAGTAATGATTAGTGGTACACGTTAGAAATATAGAAACTATAATCAACATGAAGCCATTTTTTGTGTGTATAGGATACATGTCAAACAGTATTATGCACACATAATTTTTTTGATTGATAATAAGGTAACTTACACAAAACCACAATTTAATGATACAACATGATGATGTGATTGATATGCTTGATCGGATTCTAAAATTCTAGCATTTTCATTAAATAACAACCATAAATTATCTGGACGTGGTCCAGCTACAATCGGTGAATTCATATTAGGATGATGATGAGTTGTTGGTAAAATGGATGAATTCACATTGGTATTATTACTGGTCAATTTGTTTTGACATATTTCTATAGGAGAAATACATTGACGTGATGGAATACGATAACGACCAATTAGATTGTAAAGTAATTCCGAAATACATCTACACGCAGTAAATGCCACTTCAGTTTGTTCACTAATCATTAAGCTGAATACAATTTCAATAAATTTCAATGATGGAGGATTGAAAATTGGTGGAGGTAGCGAGTAGTTGTTATCTAATAATTTCCATACAGGTGTAAATGGTGGACTAAGAGGATAACGTAATAACTTTAACAATGTAACAGTTAATGACCAACTTGTACTAGTACCAGTATTGTGATGATGATGATGATGATGATTATTAGTAGTAGTAGTTTTATGATCAGTTATTGTTATATTTTCAAAATCTATTGAGGAATCGATTGGCTGATAATCATCATCAATTGAATGTATACGAATAATATAATCAGAAATATTTCGAGTGAACAATGACATAGCTTGATTACGATTTTCAAATAGTCTATCAATCATGTGATTTGAATGATTCAATGATGTTTGAACATTAATTGAACATTGAAAGGTATGTAAACAATGATCAACTTCAGAATAAACTTTACTTAACCAACTACTACTAGTAGGTGGAATTTGTTTCAGTTGACGATTGAATGAAAGATATACATAGAAATCTATGGGGAAATGTTGAAATGATTGTAAAATTTGTTTGATTAAACATTCTAAATTATCACGATTTGTTTGTAATTGTTTTAATTGATGCTGTTGTTGTTGAAGATTGGATTTACTCATTGAATCACTATTATTATTGCTATTAGTTATTTTGAAGCTTTTAAACCAAATCGATTTTTCTGTTTCATAATTAACTAGTTGTTCAATAAGACTAGTACAAAATTGTACAAATAAAGATGGATCTAATCTAAGCAATTCATCGAATTCACGATTCCAATGATGACGTGCATAGATTTGTTTTAATGCTATAATTGTAGACATACGTCGATGATGTATAAGTTTTTGTTTTGCTTCTAATGAACCAATAGTAGATAGGATAATAGGTGAAGAAGATGAACCAATCGATGTTAATGAAGATAACGATGATGAATGAGGTGAGGATGTTAGATATTTTATATCTGACATTATATTATTTAAACGATTAACCAATGATTCTACAATTTTTGAACCAATCTATAAAAAAAAAACAGAACAGAACAGAATAGAGTTGAGTATTCAAAAGATGGGAAATAATAAAATAACTAGAAGAGAATGTTGAACTCTTAATCCTAAATGTCCTTTGCATGATGTGTGCATGCTTTAGAAGGATTGTTTATGTACGGTGGAACAATCAAGTGAGCATTGTTAAAGTTAATAAAGGGTATGTGTTATGCATGCAACGTAAACATGACAAATTGATTTGCTTGAACTATTACGAGTTTACCTTAGTCGGCAAATGAGAGCGGGGACCGAGGATCCGGCGACACGACATGCTACTCTAATTTAAATGTCCCAACACCCATTGAATAAACGAATAAGACTTGATATGAAGCAGAACTTGTACTCTACAAACATCCAGAGAGTACGAGGTCCAAGTTCAGAAGTCAAGCATCCCGGACTAGGGATCCTGGACCGGGTCATAGAACATTACAGATAATGCGTATTGATACAGTTAGGTCGAATAGGAAACAGCATCGAAATCTGTGACATTGACAGTTAAGACGACCAATAGGAAACAACGTTTGAAGTGACATTGATAGTCAGAACGATCAATAAGAAACAACATCGGAGTACGTGACATTGATATCTAGGACGACCGTAAAATTGACTAGTAAGAATTGACCAAACAATTCTCTTAGGATATTGGATGAATATCCTAACAGTATGAAGATGTAAAGATGACCAAATTCCATCCATTTGAATATAGGTTATGTGTGACCGAATACCTCACACCTGGACGCGTAATACCAGCAGATGAAGGTTAGATTTTAAGTGCTAGATATATTTACAAGTAAAACATAGTCTACATTGTACTGGTAAGTGTGGGGTATATAATTCGGGTCCATGTAATGGTCCTGATCAATAATTGGAGATCATGAATATCACCGCTTGGAGTCAGCGGAGGTGGCAGTGTAAATGCATCCATCCTCTATTTGTATTTAAACAGTGAGCTTCGAAATTATTTAATATGATATAAAGATATGAACCGACAAACACTTGCTAGATTGTGTGTTGATGCCGATTGATTGTCTTCGCAAACAAAACAAACCCCGTTTTTGGAATTGAATCTCGCTAATATATATATATATATATATATATATATATATATATATATATATATATGACTCAACCTGGGACCCCTGTAGGGTTACTTCCAGTCTTAAGTACAGATAAAGTTAAGAGGTTAGGCATGAAGTTAGCCACAGTATCCTGTACAAAACAACTTTGCTAAAACAAAAAAAACGTGACCAGTGAAGTTCAACCTGTTCGGGTGAAGGCAGTGTCTACCGAAGACTGTGTATGAGGTTGCGCAACTCCGTGAATTTGATTAAGTTAGACATTAACACCGTTAGATACCGGCTCAGTGGTCTGACGGTTAGGGCGTTCGCGCACAATACCGAAGGTCCTGGATTCGAATCCTGCGGGGTGCAGGAGTCGTGGATGCGCACTGCTGAGGAGTCCCATACCAGGACGAAACGGCCATCCAGTGCTTCCAGGTTTCTAATGGTGGTCTAACATTGATCGATTCATGGTTTCAAAAATGTATTATTGTAAAAATATAATTACCGAAGGAATACATTTGATTAACGATCCATTAAGAATGAAATTTGCTAATCGTCGAATATCCGATCGATGTGGAGAGGTTGCTAAAACAGTTAAAATTTCAGCGAATTTTATCATTTCTATGGATGGTTGTATGATTGGAGAACAAGCAAGCGAATGTGTTATGCATTGACCGGTGGAATTTTTCACTGTCACTGTTAAATATTTTCTTAAATGATTCAATTTTATCATAGAAAACCGCTGATGTATACGTGCAATGTGTGTGATGATGGAACAACCGAAATACATTTGTAAATTTTCATTCGATTCATTTTGATTTACTGATGCTGATGCTGATGATGGCGGTGGCGATGTGGATAATGGGGAACAATAAGTTCCAGTTAAAGAATTAATACTTGGTATACAATATTTGTCAAAATCATTTGAACGTGTACATTGTTGTTGTTGTTGTTGTTGTTGTTCCGATAAGTGTAAACAATTACGTGCACCTAAATCAGATGATAATAAACTTTGTGGACCATTTAAAATTTGTAAAAGATATGGTCTATGCTCTTCCATTGGTAAATTCAATAATGCTTGTTGAGTGAATTCGATTAGATTATAAATTTGAACATTGTTAAATAATAGCCAAATTGATTTAGTAGTAGAATTATTACCTTGGAAAAAAATAAACATTTTACAAAATGATTTTCAATGATAAACTATTATTTCAGATTTTGTCGTATTGGTGATTAATTGATGGATGTAAGTTATGATGATGAGTTATTATTGTGTCAAATCTATTGAAGATCGCTCCCAATCAATCAAACTATTAGTGTCGAAATTACATTTACTACCAACATATTTGATCAACCAATATGATCAATGTTAATGTCAGACTGTGAATTTCGGTAAGACATGATCGAATCTGTCATGGAACATCGATTCCCTAAAGATTAAAGGCACATCTTGCTGACGCCTTCAAATGCCCTGGTATAGCCAAGAGTAGCGAGAATCCACCATCCCTGCCTCCGAATGCTTTCGCATGGCCATGCACATATAGTCATTGACAGGAAAGTGCTACGTACTACCTTCTCGTTGTGAGGGTGTTGTTTAACGAAATTGAGAGGATGAAAAGCAAGTTTTCGGCACTTTAACCAGGTTGGTAGGTACGTAGCATCGAACTAAGAGAGAGTTGGAAAACCCTGATTCCAAAGCAGTGGTGCACATGGGTTTCACAGTCTTAGGAAAAGAAATAGTGTATGAACCTATTGTTCATCACCGGCTACTAAGGTACTGACTCAACAATGCCCCACTTCCTCGTGGATTACAACTCATGGTGAAGGCTCGAGGAGTGACTCCCTAAGGGACCCACCCACTTTGGTTCACGCATCCGAGCAGCCCATTCACAAATCTAATAATTTAAGAAGAAAATGCGTCAAAATTTCGATTTGACCGTAAGTATTCAAGTACAATATCCTTTATTAGTGAAAGATAATTGCTCATTACTGCTTCCATTGAAAAATGATACCGAAAAAAAAACATTTTAATCCATAGGATCAAAAAACTTACGTGAATTGATACTCCAGGTAGTTTTAAAAAAAAAGACCACTTCGATACACATTAAACAAACGTGTAGTTAACTAATTTGTGGTTAACAGTACGAAGCATAGGGATTTTATAAACTAAATTGATTACCTTGATTGATTGCGCGCCTAGGTTTACTTTCTAATTGATGATGTAATATAAATTATTTCCTCCTTTTTCGGCGATTAATGATAAATTAGAATGAGGATTATAGTTTTAAATGAAAAAATGATTATTTTTTTTTAATTTTCATATAATCCACACTAACATGAATTTTGTTTAAAACTATTGGACTAATTAATTTAAACATACCATCAAAAATGAGGCTAGTTGGAGATACTTACAATCATTTGATTTTTCTGAAACACCAACAGTGTCGAAATTAGTTGAATTATCAAGAACGCTATCAATAATTTCATAATCATCAGTTTTTTCATAACAATCAATTAAATTATCATCAGTTTCTTTGATCAATTGTGAAATCACATCCAGCAGTTTTAAACCGATTTTAAGTGCTGTCTCACGTAATTCTTCACTTGGATCATTCTTACTACTCATATAGAAATAAGTAACATCCCAATCAGATACAGAAGATTGTTGTAGATCATCGGTTGACGGTACATTGTACACTTCATGTGGATCAATGAGATTAGATAGACCATGCCATGGCATAAAATTTTCTCCAATACGTATTTCATTTACAGTGAGTTTTTTTGTACGAGGTGCTAAAGTATCAGATAAAGCATTCATTAAATGATTCATCCAGATTGTTAAAGATGTGAATTGATTTCGTTGTTCCATGTAATTGATTCCATTTCGAACATTATCATTAGAAGTGGTAGAATGCAGTAAAGAGGTTAAATTTGCATGAATTACTTCTAATTGTTCAATGATCGGATATAAAAATGTTTTAACTAATTGTCGAGCTAAATTAGTTGTCATACTTGTTGGTTTAAACCAAAAACTATGATATTTACGACTTTTATGATTGTAACAATATTTAACAATCGACTTTAAGTTAACAAATGGACTCCACCAAGGAGATGAAATAAATGCATCCACTTTATTCAGTTGTTGTTCTTGTTGCTGTTCATCATCTATGCCAACAATATTGTCTAGTAAATTCAAATGGCGTAAATCAATACTGTAACTTGTTAAACGATGCAATAACATAGCTAGAAAACTTGCTGATGCCTCAGATAATGCAGGACATGCATTCACTGTAATAAGTGTCATCATACTAGGTGCATTGACACTTTTCATGCATGTCAACTGATTCCAATCTGGTTTGACAAGACAACCGGTTGATAAATAACATAATTTACCAAGGAGAATAATTAATGGTTGAATAAACTCTTCATAAATAATTGGATCAATCAAATTCTCCGGTGGTAGTGCACATATGAAACCCGGTAGAATATATAATAGAGAAAGAAGTCGAGGCTCTGCTCGATGATGATAGACAAACGATGCATCTAAGGAGAAAAATTCAAAAGAAAAAATATCAAGATTTATACTAATCTACACATATTTATACAACATACATGTGCTTCACACACAGTGTAACAAATCGATAATGGCAAAGCGAACAGTCTAAACAGTCTAAATCAGTTCACCAAAATTATATACCGTTGAATTAGTGAATAAATAGTCTTGACATTTGAATAGAATAAGATGAAGAGCATTGTTATATTAATCCAGTATCTAAGAGATCTGAAAAGATTTAACTGTCCACTTTCATTCAATCATATTTTGTGCCTTTTCGAAAACAATAACACATTAAAGCCAGTGCTAAGGCTTACATTTTCTTGTTCACAATCATTGCCAGACTTAGTGAACAACTTAGTTGAACTATACTTCATTACCTTGCCCAAACCTGTCACTCAATAAATTAAATAGTATAGTCATTATTTTTAGATGGATAAAAACGCTAGTAATTTATTTGTTGAGTAATCACGTTTCCTAATAACAAGCTTATCTACTAATAAACGCATCACTTGTTTAAATCCAAATCTTAGCTAAACTACCATTGAACACTGTTGGATGACAACTTAGTGATTGAAAGCATAAGTGCACTTTACGGGAAGTGTTACATTCTAGAAAGAAAAAGTTATCTAGTGCAGTCAAGTTTTCAATGGTGGTTTTCAATGATATGCAACTGTAGTGAACGAGAACACAGGTGGGGCAACCGAATTGTATTTAACGAAAAATTACAGAGTTACTCAGTAAAATCGGAAAACCATATCGTGAATCGTTCATTTGCAAAATATCAGTTCATCATATCGAACTGGACTGTTCCTGTTGCAAAACATCAATCCATTGTCACTCACTATTCATGCGTTTCATACAAATTCCATTGTGTTCCCCCCACTCTTCCTTTCTTTATCTTGCCCCATATTCTGCTGCTAGACATTACGTTGACACTCACGTCATATACTACTTATAAGTAGCTCACACCACACAACAATCTCCACAACTTTATACGTATAAAGGTAGGCTGCAAGTTGATTGAATCAGTAGGAATCATTTAAAATTACATGTCATCCATCATCCACTGATACACATAACTTATTATTATTTTTTAAAAAAAAAATAAAACAATGACATTTACACAACAATATAATTTGAATGTTTTTCATGCTGAATTCATTAATCAGCTGATAGATAGATAATAAATAAACACGCTTATGTGCGCATAATTGCACAAAATTTTGTTTTTTTTGTTAATTATTGTTCAAAAGTCAAGGAACTGTGTTGTTTGTTTTTTTCTTGGTGATTCCTTTCTCACTTCCTCATCAACATCAACATCATCATCAGGTGTTGGTAATGCCCAAAAAATGCAACAAAATCATCAGAATTTATAAACAACAACAACAACACACAACAATGAAGCAGATGCGCTATATTAAAACAAAACAACAGGCCAAATAAACACACACACACACACAGAGGATTATCCATTCACAAACATCATTAACAACAATAAAACAATATAGATGATGTTAATGTATTCATCACTCTGTTCAACTACCAATTTGTTATGAATAATAATAATAGTTTCAAGTTTGATAGAGAGAGAGAGAGAGGGAGAAAGCGCTAGTTTAGTGTGAAAAGCAAATAAATTGTAAAAAATGGATTACAAAAACAACACTCAATCATGCGCAAAAAATGATGGATGATCAACTTCAATATATTCCATCACAGTGTGTGTGTGTGTATTCTATGGATGGATGATTTAGGAGATTGATTTCAATGAGAAGCTGAGATGGGGTTACCAGAGTAGAGGAATTCACTGTCCAGATGATAGCTATATAATAGTTATATGTAGGACTGTATAAGCTGAGGTAGTGAAGTAGTGCATTTCAGCATTTCAATGTGTGGCCAAGTTGATCGCGTGTGCTGTTTGTGCATAGTGCATTGCAATTGATTAGCGAAACAACAGTGTAAGGCTAAGTCAATGTACGTGACGTTCTATATCTATTATACAGCGTGATACCATACAGTAAGTAGTTTAATATGGGAATATATATATATATAGCTTGTTGAATAGCAGTACCATAGATGATTTCTTACTAATTAGATTGTAATTGGACGATTATATTTTTCGCTGAACACAAAACTTAATATGATGAGAGTATAATCAATCCATAATATATGATGCCTCCTATTCAAGTAGTACAATATTTGTATTTCATCATTCAAGTGTATAAATAAATTATCCTATCCAAATCCATTACGTTTGACCTCTCCGCAATTGATTGATTGGCTGAAGGAAGAATTTTACTTTCTTACAGATATCACAATCCAGTTGTTAATGAGTACTGATCATTAAATTAGGTACATATTAGTGAGGGAGAAAAAAAGCCGTAGAATGATCAAAATGCAACCAAGTTATCTATCCAAACCGATAAATCATCAGTCAATCACGATAAGTTCACTATTAGAAACTTGTGAGCACTGGACGGCCGTTTCGTGCACATCCACCAATTCCGCTACGTGCAGGAATCGAACCGAGGACGTTCGAGTCTTGCACGCGGACGCTTAGCCGCTGGACAACTGAGCCGTCGTCATCCAACAATGTTAATGTCTAATTCTGAAGGTCCCGGGTTCGAATCCTGCGAGGAGCAGGAGTCGTGGATGCGCACTGCTGAGGAGTAGTCCCATACCAGGACGAAACGGCCGTCCAGTGCTTCCAGGTTTCTAATGATGGTCTAACAATGATTAATTGATGATTTCAAATGTGTAAAAACACAAACCTCCAAAACTCTTCCCCAAAATAAATCTGATTAATCTTTAATGGAAAAACGAAACATAAACATAGGTAGGCATGTATTTTGATAAAATTCCCTGTTCAACATACCATTTTCAATTTCATTTACAATCGCCATAAATTTTGGCCAGATTAATTTCAAAGCATAAATTGATGAACTGATGCTACTACTACTATTGTTGTTATACGAAGAATCAACACTTAACCAATAAGCTTGATAACCAATTAATCGTGATGTTTCTGGAGACCATTGACAGGAAAATATTTTATCAATTAATAAATTAATTAAACGACAACGTAATTGTACATTAGACGATGTTGATAGACTCAGTGCAATGCATAGACCAGTTAATCGACTCATTTGACATGTATCTATGTAAGAACGTGGAGAACCAGTTTGTGGTCGATAGATTGTATGTGATAAATGTGTACTATGCTGTGCATTAAACAAATTCATACTATCATCATTTAATCGTGATAAATAAGTTAAAATATGTTCATATAACATGAATACTGTATCTTCTATACCATTTAATTCTGTGATAATTTTCTCAGTAATTAAATCATTTGGATTAGTATGATTGGTGTGAATCGATCGCATAGTTGATGTATTCCATATAGGTGTTGAGAGAACTAGTGTGAGAGAAAAAAATATATTGGAAAATAGAACATGAACAAGAAAACGATCAAACAAAAAAAAAGAACAATAAATCATAAATCGATCAAAGTTTCTAATGGTGGTGTCTAACTTGGATCGATTCATCATCTCAAATGTGTACCTTGACAATTATCACAACCCCTGTAATGCAAATTACCTGTGCTCACTAGTGACTAGCTTTGTGAGGAATCTTCTCCGAGTTCTAGTGGGAACTCATGACCAGTGAAGTTCAATCTGTTCAGGTGTAGACAGTAACTATCGAAGATTGTGCAACTCCGTGAATTGATCGAAGTTAGACATTAACAGCGTTAGATACCAGCTCATTGGTTCAGAGGTTAGGCGTTCGCGCGCAATTCCGATGGCTCTGAGTTCAAATCCTGCGACGTGCAGGAGTCACGAATGCGCACTGCTGATAAGTCCCATGCCAGGACGAAACGGCCGTTTTTCAGTGCTTTCAGGTTTCTAATGTTGGTGGTCTAACTTGGATCGATTCATGGTTTCAAAAATGTGTAACTTAACAATCTTCACAACGCCGTAATGCAATTACATTAATAATATAGAGTATATAGACTAAACAATAACTACCGATATAAATTTATGTAGACCTTTAAAGTTGTACACTGAATTTTTTTTCTGCTCTCTGCCGCCTAGCGCACCTCTATGTTTACTACCTATTCCAAGCCCAGATAAGCATTTCATTTTTGGTTGGCCATCACATATGTGTGCATGAATTTGTTGTTAATGCCACAATATACTGATACGATTCATTCTAGCTCTTGGAAAGGCTTTAATATAACGCAGACAATGGAAGTGTTGACCTAAAACAAACGTCCTTTATATCATGTCTTCGTAATCAGATCAACAAACTGTTTCGTATTAAGTAATTATCAGTTGGGTATCCTTTTTAAACGATGCACAATTCATGATGATAAAAAGATATTGAGAAAAATAAAGGTACATATTCGAACACTGACCAATACGCATAGACAACCTTTCACCAACAAAGAGGCAACAAGGATTAGAAAAACGCATACTCATTGCTTGGCCAACGAAAAGGCTGAACACAATATCAATGACTACAAGTTCAAAATCGTTAATTTATTGTAGACATTCATTTACTATACATAAAAAAACCATACCGCATCACAATAATAGACAATTATGCATATGAATGAGTTAAAAGTGTGCTGTAAGTAGAAGAGTGGTAGAGATCGTGAAACGGGTATAATAAGCCGTATAATAATAGTTTGTAGATTCAGGAACGTGATAATCTATTTGCGTAATCATTAACACTTAAACCGTGTCAATTGCCTCTATTGAATCTTTCAACAACAACAACAACACATGTCACATTATCCAAAGTATTTATGTGTTACCGATTCACGGTACAACATTGAATCTAACACAATGTGTGTGTGTGTGCGTGTTATATTGCGAATTAATTTAATTAAAACAAAAATTAATAAAAATAAGTAGGAGATCAACAAATTAAATAGTCACTACTGACATATCTATCATTCATTTTTACATTAAAATTTTTAATACAATAATAGACTGACAATTGTAGAAATCATCATTAAAAAACTTAAGAAATTTATACTAGTCTACGTGTAAATGATATTTTTAATAAATTTAAAGAAAATATTATTCTCTTTCAGTGAACCCGCATTTTTTGTTTGCAAATTGATTTCTTAATTAAATTGTAACTTAATGCAAACAA